GAAATGTCACCCAGCCCGGATCACCGGTGACCTCACAGCCTTTTAGACCTCGCCGAACTTCCCCGTTCCTTTTGTCATTTAAATTGGTGAACAAAAGATAATAGGAGCTCTAAAAATAATCTAGAAGACGTGACACTTTTCAATCCGAGCTTAAACATTATGGCTTTTCAATCCCACGCGACTCGACTGAGAGCAGCTGCCCATTTCGGCTGCTTTCATCATTGGCAACAAAGCAGCGACATGACGGTCACGGTGTTCCTCCATTGGAGGCGTTTTAGTGGGAGAGAGAAAGAGCGCGCGCTTGTGTTTACAGGATAAATGCATGTGCGTGACATCAAACCTGATGAAGAGATAACATCCGCAGGGCCTTGGGTTAAACACGCCATTTCCCTTTCTTCCTTATTTGTAGTGCGTAGGCTAAGTGGTAAAGAACTTTCGGTAAACAAAACCTGTCACGCACCACAACATCGTCATAGCTCGGGATGGCTGCGATTATTTGATTTCACAATCACTGTAAAACTTGCTCAGTCTCAGCTTAAATATACTGAGGCGTAAACTTAGAAGTATTGTATACTTGTATTACTATAGAAGGAATTATAGTCTGTGTGTTGGGAACTGCAGTCCAGTGTTTCCTGTCAGCTTGTTTCCACACAATGCAGGTAAAAGGGGATTATTTATCAGACACCCTGAAACTTTACCCTGGAGAACGAGAGGCGCCGCGGCAGTTGGATTTTTTATTTTTTTGCTGCATTGTACAGTAGTCTTTTGTTGTTGGTTATCTTTGCTTCATAAACTAAAAACAAGGAAGTCAGCTGCTTTGCAGCAAACACATTCCTCCCCGCTGCAGCAGGAAGTGCTCACCGCCAGCGCGACCTGCGAACTCTGACCCGTCCCAGTTCTGGGAACGGGACACAGCGGAAGCCACGACTCACACTTGCGAATATATTTTTATTTAATACATTTCATTATTCAGAAAATTAAGAATGAAAATCTGACATTGACCTCGAATAGCTTTTGTACCTCACACCAAATATAAATAAATAAATAATACATATACATACATGTACCATGAGATCCTTCAACATAGTGCAGTGATTCTTTCATTGTGTTTGATGCTGAAGAAGGAGCCGTCCTGACCGTGAATTTATTTTTAACTCAAAAATGTTTTTGTTTATTTAAAAGGATCCCCATTAGCTGACGCTGAGGCGACAGCTAGTCTTCCTGGGGTCCAAAAAAAAATAAAAATAATAATACATAAACGAACAGTAATCACAATCACAATTACTCACATATATCATATATAAATACACACAAAAGACAAGAAAAAGTAACAATTCTGAAAGTACTGATTAAAGTAATAAAAAATAATGCAAAACACCAGGACACATGATACAACCTCGCTCAACCATTCCAGACGATGGAATTACCAAATTACCAAAATGATAAAAATAATTGGTCATTTATCTGTTTGGGTTTTCAGCACTCGAATGAGACGGCCATCTGCCCGGTTGTTCAATTTCTAAACCCTCCTTCTCGATCAGATGTTATCCTAATAAGTTAAACGTAAGCCTTCCATGGCTTCAGATCTCGCTTAATCCAAAATCGAGCGCAACATTGTGCATAAAGAAATGACTAATCATAATAAACACAACATTTATAAGATGACAATAGCAGTAGAAGATCAGTAGAAGTCCGGGCAAATTAAAACGGTAGATTTCAGCTCTTTCTCCAGTACATTTGCTATGAGGCGACACTTTGTCACCCAACTCTGCCATCACAGTTAGAGAAAAGAGAGCCAAAGGTTGTGCGTTGAGCAACACACTACTTGTGTGTGTGATTAGATCATGAGAACATGGTCCAGTATATTCCCAAGAATTGTCTGAGTCAAACCATAACGTAACTGACAGCACCCCATGTGGCTCTACGGGTTTGTCACATTTCCTCATTCCTTGAACGAGGTATTTGTTTCACTTTTGTCTCTAAAAATAAACCAGCACTACTGCGACGGCAGCCATGCTTAACGCATGGAATGAGTTTAACTCAAATGTATTGTGAGTTACATTTTTGTCAGAGACAAAAGAAATTGAACTGCTATGAAATAACATATGACTATCCCCATGTAACTTATTTGAGTATTTCTATTACCTTTGTTGATAGCTTGCTCTTTTATAGTCTTGGTTACCGACATGTCGTCAGTAGACGTTCACATGACTCACGCGGCTCACCCTCATTATTTCAAAGTGCGATAAGTTGTTGTTGTGAAGTCACTTTTTATTACCAGACAAGTTGTCTCAACATAAGGATTTAAACTGGAGCACGAAATACCGGAGACCAAGAGGAATATAGATACAGCTTTTATATATAAATATAAATAATATGATTAAGTCGGTTTCTATTTCAGCGTCATCAAACATAGTGATAAAAACCCACTTTTTAGATTAAAAAATGACAGCACATCATGTCTGTACCTGAAATAATGAATACCTTCACTTTAGCAGCAACTGATTATTCACTTGGACTTCAGCATTTTAACTTGAAAGGACGTACTAATTGATTACTTTCCCAAACCCAAAGTCTGCCACAAATGATTAATTTACTGGATCAACTTTAACGCTTTTGGGACGTAGGTCGTCACTGTGACTTGGTGCCACCTCTGCTCCACAAAGTAAAAGTTGAAAGTAGGAGAGATAAGATTGGAGTTTAAACAGCCGCAATAATCTACTCAAGGACTACTGATAAAAAGAAATAACGTCAGAAACATCTTCTCTTACTGAGAGCCCATTTCCATTTGATTGCATCCTTCTTCCCTTCAACAATAAGCACAACGGCCTTGAGCCAAGACTCTTTGGCCTTTTTAAGATAATTGGAAAGGGTTGAATTTTTGAAAGTTCAAAGCCTTTACGCATGTAAACCTCTGCACGGCATAGAAAGGATTCCCCCCTCTGTGTGCGTGTGTGTGTGTGTGTGTGTGTGTGTACAAACCCTTAACAGTTGCGGTAAAAAGATCCCTGTTGTCATTTTTTTCTTCCTCCTTCCTTCTTCTGATCATCTACTGACACAATAATCAGAACAAATATACACATTCCCATTAAAGAGCAGAATGTTCGGTTGTATTGTCCTGATTTACAACGCGGTGAATAGACGTGGTGCAGCGGTGTCTGATTACTGTAACTAGACGGGATAAAAAGCAATGCAGGATGTATAATTCCCTTTCAATGAAAATGCAGGTGAGGCTGCAGAAGGGGAAATTTATATATAATGTATTTCTTTCAGTAAGCCATTTGAATGAATCAACACTGCACCCTACTATTTATTTGATTACAGTATGTGAGGAAATTCTTGACACTCCCAAAATCTGAAATATGTTTTGTAAGAGGAAGGAAATATCTTTAACCACAGAGAATGAAGCGTAATAAAAGCCTGATCTCAGGCTCAGAGGTTTTTCAAATTATATTTTGATAACAGCGTTTGCGAAAGGCTTGAATTGTATCGGCGAGCAAATATTGAACTTCTTTGAAATACTAAATTCACTTGGTAGACATTTGGCGCTTGTGTTACCAGGTGAAAAGCAGACCGTTTTTGTGAATATATCCTAAACCAGAAACATGACTAACACGCCGTGTAAGCGAGATAACCAGATAATTACTACTTCTTGGATGAGGCGGCGAAGGGAACTTTATAAGGTATTCGAGGTGTGACTTGTTGGTTGACAACCACCCACTTAAAACGCCACCATAAGGGATTTCATGAATATAAAAGGACAACAAAGTGCATTGTATAATGACGGAATTATCCTTTAAATAATACACTGCAATTGTTGTTTTTTGCTGACATTGCAGCTATTGCTTACTCTTTCCATCTGCCTACAATGTGCTTATTTTGCACAAACAATATAACACATCAGAGCGAGTGGCCTGACACGCTGTACTTTTGCACCGGTGGTACACAAAGCTTTTTTACCAACCGGGAACAGAATACAGGTGCCTTGTGTCCCGGAGGCTCCAACCTTACACGTGTTTCACCCAGAGTGTGCAAGTTAATTAAACATTTGGGAACATAAAGCACTAAAGCACAATATGAAGTGATAAGGGCCTCGCAGTGGCCTGTTCTTTATTACCAGGATCTTGTTGACAAAGACAACACAAAGAGAGTGTTAGAGTGTATTTTTCAGTTCAGCATGGTAACAACAGCGGTGATGGAAAGAGTATGATTTGTTACTTTAAATGCTTCACTACAAGCAATAGTCCTGCATTCACAATAGTTCCATTTTATAAGTGAAAAGTCTGCAACATGTGCTATCAGTATGAAAATAGTACACATTATGAAGCGTGTCTACTTTCATATTTATGCTATTCTTATTTTTTGGTGCACAATTATAAAGTGTAATAATATGGGATTGAAGCGATTCAAGTGTTTTAACTGTTGTTGTACCACTTCTCCAGTTTTCTCCAGTTCAATTCCTTTTACATTTGATCTATTTATTGTTTGTGTTTCTGTCCTCTTATCTGTAACTTTGCATTACTTAGATTTACATTGTAAAGCGTCTTTGGGTACTAAGAAAAGCGCTATAAAAAACTAAAGTATTATTATTATTATAACTTTAAATCAATAGTAACCTTGCTGATGATTAATACCCTTTGTCATATAGTCTTATTGCATGAAAAAAAACTTTCTGTTTTCAATTCAAGACATTGTTCAAGGCATTTTTTAGACATTTGGACCCGATGCATCACTTTGTATAAAACTCAATCATTCACTTCCTTAGTCACTGCGGCCTGAATGGCAGATTTCTAACGGTGCGACACTGCTGACACCTGGCGGTAATAATCTGTCACTGCAATTAAAAATGAAAGTTTTCAGTCAAATATCTCCTGGGAATAATGTCATAATCCCTCAGATTCGTCAGAACTATACAGTATTATCTTTCCGGGATCCAGGTTTTACTTTCACACATGAACGTTATCACCGGTTAACTCGAACACTTTTCCTTTAAGAAATCCGCCCTCGCGCTCACCTCCCGATAGCGGCGCGTAAACTCAACGGCGGTGTTGTTGTTAGCAACCACCGGCTAAAGGTAGTGGAAAAGCTAACGTCAGTTAACCAAGAGAGCTAACTGCACATTTTCGTTCGTCTCATTCGTCGGGACAGAAGAAGTACATTTCACTCACTTGTCTCGTTGTCCTTGTAGCAGGAAAGATGTCTTCGTCCCCGGTGAGTGAGCGTTAAGCTAGCGGTACGCTGCGCTGAAGTTGGTTTCTCATTCGTGGCTTCACAAGGTCGCTGCTTAAAAGTCGTTAAAGAGGGATTTTTAAACGACATTCAATGATTTACTCTACTTAAAGCCCCATTTGTGACAAAGCTTCATCGAACACGGGGGTTGTGTCACCCGTATTGTCCCGAGGCCCGTTTGAAATGTCTCGTAAAGTTATTTCACGCACTGTTTGGAGTCGGAGGGGACTGTGATTAATATGTTAATCTACACATGGTCCAATAACGTCACACATGAATGAATGATTTATACCATGGATGTTCAAAAATATTTTTAGCACAACTCCATCAGCAGCAACAATAACAAAAACAGAAATATTTAGAATCCCACTGTGACAAATGAGAAGTATAGTTTTTTGTTTCTCACACTTTTGTTTTGTAACGGAACTACATTTTGTCTGCCACGCTTTCCTTGCAACCTGCTACCTTCATCTTGGTGTGATAAACATAGCAGGTAATCATGAAATATCATCTATTACGGTTGTAATTACAGTTTTAATACATTGTCTTCCCTTCAATAGTAATTTAATTAAAGACACTTTTTTTTGCTTTTCTTTAGCAAACTAATACTCATAGTTTGGGATGGAAGGGAATGAATGAAGACATAGTGAAGTGGAATATGTTCATTTAGTACTTGTGGTTTTCCTTCTTTGTAGTGTGTTAAGTGACTTCCCATTTGGAGCACTCCCAATACCTGACACACATGAAACTATTCCTGCAAAACAAGCAAATTATCAAGCTTTCCCCTTTAGACTACATTTACAGCTTCCATCAATTTGCTATAACTTTACATTCTTTGACACATGTGGTGCACTTTTGTAACACCCTGAATTGTGCCTTGCTTGTATGTTCATAGCCAGTCACAACACAACTTTCCTGATACTATATGTTATGGTTGAAAAGCAGCCTGTAAAAAATAATAATTCACAGGATCCATGATGGAGAATTATCGGGTTGCTCCATCCATTTATTAAAAATCAATACCAATCCTAGACAACATAAGGAGAAAGTGCATAATCAAGGAACCAACTTCGTTAAGACAATAGTTTATTTATTTACATATCGAATGTAGAAAACAACCCCCCTTATAAAATATAAAACCTCCACCGTCACGATACAAAGCCCATCGCAAGTCTCCCAAAAGTCATTCAACTCTCGACGCCATATTTGTCGAAGTGTCTCATGATGATGCCCAGCTCCAGCGCCACGGATCCCATGGCCTCGGTGTGCAGTCTGTATCTGTCCGCCCCGCTGTATATGAGGTCCGGGCTGCGCAGCTGCGGTCCTCCGCCGACGAACATTTGCGCCAACTGTTCTTGCCAGGAGCCGAGCGGCCTCCAGGTCACGCAGTCGATCCGGTGATGTCCCGGGCTCGACGGGACGTGGCAGTACCCGTAGCCGTACAACTGGCAGCGCCCGAAATAGTCCTGGTGCCACACCTGGAGGTGAAGCTTCGGCCAGCCGTGGAGTCCCTTGGTCGCGTAGTGCAGATCTATCGGGTGACTCCAGTACGCCATGTCGCCGGTTTGGGGGATATCCACTTGGGTCTGACCCTCCTTCAGCCCGGCTAGAAGACGCCATGCTCCTCCCGTGTGAACACCCCATTTGCAAAATAGACTGCTATGCGGGAAACCGGTGGCCCCGACAATATGTCCTATAATGTGGAGCTCCGCCATGATTCCAATGTCCCGTTAGAATAAGAACATACGCCGCCGAGGGACTCTTCTAACGCTAGCCTTTCCCCGAGCTCAGACGCTAGGTCAACGGCTAGCAGAGGCTAGCAACACAGCTCTCGTCTCCTTGGTAACTGAGCCTGGGGAAACGATTACACCCTGATCACGGCTTTGCAGGCAGAACTTCCTGTTACAATGTAAACGGATCGTGCGTTGTTGAATGACATTTAGACGCCTAAAGTCCAAAATTTGCCAAATATTATTAGTTTAAGCAACTCCATACCGGATAGAAAGTTAATTTGACTACAGCTAATGTATTTCCATGGCACACATTTGATAACTGCCGCCTGGCAGGTAAAGCGGAGGGCATCATTTGTCTAAATCTAGGCGTGTGCATTTGACGCGCTTTTTTCGTTTGTGAAATGATATCTGTACACGAAAGAGTATAAGACATCACTCATGTTTAACTATACAAATTATACGAATGAGGACTCCTGAAATAAACTTCACTGCATGCCTAGATACGAGGGTTAATTTGTTGGTGTTTCTCGGATTTAATCAGACTTTGGTGTCTAGTCAAACTGCGTCAACCATCAACAATAATAATTTACCTTATTTGAATTTGTTTAGTTTAGTAATGATTGAAAAACGACAAACTATTAGATATGAAAGTAACAGGCCAACAAATTGACAGTCAAAACAGGCGCCTCAAACTGAATCCAGCCATCAACATCAACCTTTGTGCTTTTTCTTCTGTCAAACACTAGTAATGCATTGGGTAAAACAAAGCCCTGTGTTTGAGTAACACTTTCATTTTTTTTTTTAATGATCAATATTTTGTTCTCCATTCAGTCTGATCCAACTCTAGAAAGACATTTCAAGGGCCACAGGGACAATGTTACAAGCGTGGACTTCAACTGCAACATGAAACAAATTGGTAACTGCTACTTAATTCTACTTCTTGTCTTTGGCCAGATCATTTGTTGCACCTGCTTGCTGTTTTACCTCTATTTAAATGTCTGTATGGTGATGATTTCTACACGATGTGCTCACTTCACACTGCTGTGCTACCTCCCCTCACAGCCACAGGCTCTATGGACTCCTGTGTGATGATATGGAACATGAAAACTCAGATGCGAGCGTATCGTTTTGAGGGACACAAAGACGCCGTCCTCTCTGTTCAGTTCTCTCCGTCCGGCCACCTGGTGGCCTCTGCCTCCAGAGACAAGACTGTTCGTCTTTGGGTGCCCAGCATGTGAGTTTGGAAGCTTTCCACCTTTTTTTCTTTTTGATTAAATATGTATCACCTCTCATTATCACCATATTTCACTAGAAAGCTTTCCCTGGGGAAAATGATAGTGACCAATGAAAGCAACAAAGCTAGACAGTTTACTGAATCTCCTGCTTTGGTCAACACCGAACAAGGCAAATGTTTTAATTGTGGCCTTTGTGTCTGTGGGTGAGTGCAGGAAGGCTGAATCGACCGCTTTCAGGGCTCACACGGCCACCGTGCGCAGTGTTAACTTCTCTGGTGATGGACAGAATCTGGTCACGGCCTCCGACGACAAGACCATCAAAGTGTGGACCGTCCACAGGCAAAAGTTTCTCCTCTCTCTCAACCAGCACATCAACTGGGTCCGTTCTGCAAAGTAAGATGCACACACACACACACATACGCATGCATGCATGCATGCATAATTTTTTTTGCAATTAGATATTACTTGCCGCTGCAGTTGTTTGTTATATGCACATATAGATCGATTTGATACATGTAGTTATTTCATAACTTTGATTCATACGTCTCACTTGTAAAAAACAAAGCTAAAGACATAGATAACGGACCGTTACTGATCGATTTCAATATATCTTTTGCAGATTTTCTCCAGACGATCGCTTGATTGTGTCGTCCAGTGATGATAAGACAATAAAGCTGTGGGACAAGAATAGCAGAGAGTGCATTCATTCTTTCTATGAGCATTCTGGGTGAGCAATTGCAACCAAAAAGGAAAATGTGGATAAGAAATGTGGTGTGTGTCTGTGTGTGTGTGTGTGTGTGTGTGTGTGTTAGAATTACAGTGACTCAAACTAATTAATCCACTTTTTTTTTTCTCCGTGTTTCTTTTGGCATTTTTTTGGCATGTTGAAAGTTTAGAACGTTTAATTTATCTTTTTTTAAAGGAGGCTTACATTAACATTTTTCAGTAACAACTAAAAAGGGCTACAGGTGAATATCTTCTGTCTAAATAAGTGTAAACCAAGGTGTCGAACATCTACTCATTCATCACAGACTTTTCTAAAGTCATCATCAAGAAGCAAGTTGTGTAGAAATATAAATAAGAGCAGCAATAATTTACTGCCGTGTGTTTCCACCTACAATTTTAGATCAGACGTTTACTGTCAGTTGAATTGACCTGCTGGAATAATTCATTTAAAACGCTGAAAACATTTGGCCAAAGTCCTACTTTCATTCTAATGTTGTGTTTTTTCTTCCCAAGTTATGCAAACTATGTGGACTTCCATCCAAGTGGAACTTGCATCGCTGCAGCCTGTACTGACAACTCTGTGAAGGTGTGGGACATCCGGTCACATAAGATGCTGCAGCACTACCAAGGTGAAGGCAACGTCCAATTAAGTATTTCATTGGGAATGATGCCATTTGAATATTGGGATCAAACCACAGCTTAAATTCATTCACTGCATATTCGTAGCTTTAATGCAACGGCGTTCATTTATTTAACAGCAATGAAAGCATTTACCGCTTCTTTTGTTTAACCTCAAAACACTCAGTTTAGCCTTTTTGATACTTTTATAGATGTCGAATTAATAGAAGCTGTAAAAAACACAGGTTCTTTTTACATCCCTAACACAGTAAAAGCACTTGGACAAAGATGGCCCAGCCTTTGGGAGAAAAATGTCATGAGCTCATATGGCAAGAAGTCAAAGTATTGTCATCCACTCCCACCCGGAGTAAAGCCGCACCTTTTAAACTCTGTGACAAATACAGCGGTTGACGGAACTAACGCAGACTAAAGTGGTAAAGCCGTTCAAGATATCCCTGCATATTCAATGAGCCAAATGTCTGCCTCCGGGTCTGATTGTTCTAATCAGCTCCCCTAAACGGATTTAAGTTGTGAGATCTAATAATGGATAATCACGTCTGTCTGAGGAGATGGGGCCGCAAGATAAAAGCTTTTCCTCTCCCCTCTCAAGTCTCCCACTTTCCTCAGGGCTTCACTTTACATACTCTAGTTCAGTGGTCCCCAACCACCGGGCCGCGGACCGGTACCGGTCCGTGGGCCGTTTGGTACCGGGCCGCACCACAGAAAGCTTATATATATCTTGTAAATGTTTTAGTTTGAATATGGGCGCTCGTCCCTCTGACTGTCCTCTTACCGTGCACAAGCAGTTTCGCCCACCAGCAAACACAGAGCGCGCGGCGACTACTACACCCCCCCCCCCCCCCCCCCGACCTTCTCGACCGGTCCGCGAAATATTGTCGACATTGATATGAAAACGGTCCGTGAGGTAAAAAAGGTTGGGGACCACTGCTCCAGTTGATCAACATTTGTGCCGGGCTAAAGCGAGTTTAGCGAGCGTGTTTACTGTCGGATAAAGATCATTACCCGCCTGGTGGTTCATTTAGCCGGCTTTGATTTAATAGTGTTGTTTACCTTGCTAACTATCCCCGTATGAACCTAAGAGTACATCCCCCTACTCCTAGTATAGTCCCATAGCATATATGTGTATGTATGTCATCTGTCAGCCAGCAGAGGGACCAAGTCTCTCGTTGGACGTCTTGCCCTCCTCTCATTTGTCTCCGTAAGGGACCAGTCCTCAGTTGTTAGATTCATTTCAGGTCTGGGGAAGATTTTATTAGCTGCTACACTTTTGGTTTCGATACGTGCCTATTCCGAACTCTACAGCAGCGTACTTCTGATCCAGGCAACCATGTTAGCGAGCATCTGGCCTGCGAAAGTGTCCTAGCTAGACACTGAACTATTAAACACACAGGTGCTGGTAAATAACTGGCACTTAAATCACAATGTTGAATTATTCTGTGCTGTTTGGAAGGGTGATTTTTAAACTCTGTGTGTGTTTTCCAGTCCACAGCGGTGCGGTGAACAGTTTGTCGTTCCACCCGGCCGGTAATTTCCTCATAACTGCGTCGAGCGATTTCACAATGAAGATACTGGACCTTCTGGAGGGGAAGCTGCTGTACACGCTGCACGGACACCAGGTAGACACACACACACACACACACACACACACACACACACACACACACACACACACACACACACACACACACACACACACACACACACACACACACACACACACACTCTGATACCATTTGGATAACACACCGGCCAAACTGTGCCGTTGACCCAGTTGTGGTCATAGTAGGTCGTGTCGGTGGTCCGCTCTGCTCCTCCTCACTCTGTGTGTGTGTGTGTGTGTGTGTGTGTGTGTGTGTGTGTGTGTGTGTTTGTCATCGCCTTTGAGGATGTTGTAACGTGTGTGAGAGGGTGCATGTGATGTGATTTTTTTTTTTTGTACATGGTGTATTTTAGAACTTGCCAGGCGAGCGGACAGCCCACTCATGGTGACTCATCTCAGGGTTGTTGAAGGAAAAAAAACTGTGTTTCTGCCTCCGGTCCTCTTCTTCTCTTCTTCTTCTTCTTCCTCTCTGGTCCACTCTCCTCTCCGTGTGTCCTAATATCCCTCCGTGTTCTACTCCATTAGCTCCCACCTCCCGGGTTCTCACATTTCGGCCGGCTAGGCCAGTCGGCCGGACGGCTCACTGACTCTCTCTGTTTGTTTGAGCGGGTGATGGACTGGCTTACTGGCTGGGTGTGGGAAATCAGTGACTTGCCAATACCACACGCTGTCCGTCTGTTTATCTGTACCTCCGCGCAGGTGGCCGCTCTCTCATTTCTGTCTTCTCTTCCTCTGCTTTGCCCATGATCTCTGCAACCGTGTGCCAACACTCTGCTTTGTCAAGATGAAAAGACGTGCCTCGTCACGCCCTGCCCCTCTGCTCACACCTCTGAATTTGTAATTTCCTCCACTTTGTACCCATTTCTGTTGTTTTTTTTGGCTCAGTGAGGATTCAGCCAAACCGTTGGTGCTTGGAACGCTTGGGGTGTTAATTGTCCCTCCAGTAGAAATAGCTCGAAAATGGGAGCGACCCCCCCCCATCTGTTTGGTGTGCGTGTTTGTAGGTTAATGTGTGTTTATGTGTCTGGTTTGTTTGTGTATTTGTGTGAACTGTATGTGAAAACACAGGCGGTCTCTGAAGGAGGTCTTTTTTTTTTTTTTCCTCCTGTTGGATCTGTCAAACGTGTTGTTTACCTCGCCTCAGGGGCTACCTGCTCCAGCGACTGGGTAGCATCCAACTTATTCAGGTGGATTTTTCTCTCCGTTATCCGTCCTCATGAAGAAAGTCCTCAACCACACCTCGGCTTTTTAGAGAGATCATCATCTGAATTTGAATCTTAAATAGGACCACAGACGTATTGCCTCTCAGCGGCGCTTAACATCCGTGGCAGTTATCGATCACAATAACACAGTTAACGGTTTCTACCTGAGGATGGACGGTGTGATCGGCTGTTACCGCTTTGAAAGCAGTGCAGAGCTGCTGCCATGAGCTGGCCTCAGGGGGCGTGTTCACATGCACCAACATGCATTACTCGCCTGGCTATGTCAACAAAGCACAAAGAGCCTATGATTACAACACACATGGAGGGAGAGCGACTTTTCTTTCTCTGCACTATATCGTTACACAGCCAATAACTGTTTGCTGCTATGACTCTGAATATTGAAATAAAGAACCTGTAATATGGTACAGAGTGCAATTCGTGTGATATGTGTGTAAATGAGCACAGTGTTTTCCCAAGGTTTACAAGTTTAGGGGGGGTGGCCGACCCTGGAACTGCCTGCGCGAGGAAAAAACATGTAGGTAATTACAGACTTTTTAATGGAGGCCCCCCCTGATACAATGCCAGGGCAAACACTGGGAGTGGGAGAAGGTAGCATTTGGGGACTAAAATGCATCATATTCTGATTAACTTGGACCATACGTATAGTGATGCACTTTAACATTTTTCTTCCGAACATCAAGTCTGAAATGTATTTGCCTAATTACCAATTTTTTTTCTCAATCAATCCAAACTGGAGACACTCACGCACAAGACGTCGTCTTTTACTCCTGTGGACATTTAACAATAACAGTTTTATAGCAACACGGCCAAAGAAAGAGATCTGCCCTTAAATTTACACTCGCTGACATCTTCATAAGGCACACCTGTTCAGTTGCTTGTCAACACAAATTGCCAATCACATGTCCGCAACTCGATGCATTTAGGCAAGACAACTTGCTGCCGATCAAACAGCATCAGGATGGGGAAGAAAGAGGATTTAAGTGGCTTTGGACGTGGCACGGTTGTTGGTGCCAGACAGGCTGGTCTGAGTATGTCTGATCTACTGGGATTTTCACACGAAGCATGTTATAATTTTTCTAACTTTATGGAGAGCACCGTGTGGGACCCGTCTGGTTTCTGCCACCTCTGTAAATGTATACGTTCATAAAATGTATCATTGCTCTCTCTGTCTCCCTGTGTGTGTGTGTGTGTGTGTGTGTGTGTGCGCGTGTCTCGACCACGGCAAGTGCCAGCCTGGCAGCAGGCATTAGTCAGAGCCCAGACAGAACATGCTGTCTGTCAGACCGTCGCGTTGCCATGGTGACGCTGTCTGCTTCTCTCAGGTGCTTCTGGGAAACCATTTCTCACCCATACCAGCCTGTCGCGGTGCCAGCAGCAGGACACACAGTCCCTATTCTGTTCGCGGTAGCCTCCCTGTCGGTTTCTTTCCTCCTCTTTTGTTTGTTCGCTCCTTCATCTTCTCTTTGAACACAGTCAGAGAGCTCAGGCTGTAATCATTGACCTCATTTTGCATTGTGAGGGCAGTGAAAAGAGGAGCCAAAGAGGGGAATCTGAGTTTTTCAAGCTACAGACTGGATTCAGTCTGTGATCCACTTTCATTCACACACACACACACACACACACACACACACACACACACACACACACACACACACACACACACACACACATGTGCATGTGATTCATGTCAAAGTACTGATACCAGCCGGTGATCCTTTTTGTCTCTCACCACATGTGACTTCACCTCACCTGGGTCTCTGTTATAATTGCTCTTCCACATCGCCACATGCCACCCCATCCTCCACGAACACGAAGAATCACACGCATGCCGGAGCTTTAGTTCTGAATGAGCATAAAGACAAAGGAGAATGGTTTTCCCAAATGCTTTGAGTTACAGGCACAAAAACGCTTTATCCTTTCCAGCTCTCATCGCGTCACTAAGTAATATCTACAAGTGGGCGTTTTTGTGTGTTATTCATCTTTGTAGTGTTTTCTTCACCCCAATTTAACACCTACACCTACTACCTACACCTACACTTTCACTGGAGCTATATTTTCTTGGCAGATTTTTAACTATTTGAAATTCAAAGGAACTATATCTAGGGTTAGAAAATGAATGAATGGGTTGAATGTAAAACACAACATTTTCACTGTGATCTTTTTGGATTTATTTTACAGCTGCAGATAAAAAATTATTATTATTAATTAATTGATATTATTGAGTTATTCTCTATACATTTTTAGATCAAGAGTCCAAAACCTACAGATATCACATAAATGCAATGCACAGAAGCAAATGTTTCACCTATATGTTCTCCTTCAAAAGGGAGCAAAAAGTTACATTGCACCATTGCAAAACTTGAATAAACCGTTTGCAGCTAATAGCTTCAGGATACCCATCTATGCAATAAAGATGAGGCAAAGTTGTAATATGATCATTCTGTATTGCCACCTGCATTCACCATGTTTGTGCCTTCTCTGCAGGGTCGAGTGAGCGCAGTTGCCTTCTCCAGGACGGGGGAGTACTTTGCCTCCGGAGGTTCTGATGAACAGGTGATCACTAGTTCTACAAAATCATCCGAAAACATTGTATCGATATATTTCATATTATGTTGCCTCCTCGTACTACTGACAATGGTAATGATGGGTATACTGACAGTTAAATTGATCTTTATTAATCTGGTTCGGTCCCCATGGGATTTAAAATCTCTTCTCCAAGGGGGCCCAACATTTCATAAAATGCACAAGTAACACAATTAAAACAAACAACCAAATTACATTCGCAATTTAACTGTGTTATTCAGTACTACGAATACAATCTGTTTAAATAGTCCTCAACCACCTTTTGAAGTTCCTGCCTATAATCTAGTACCACTAGTTCCCCCCCTTTATGAAACAACACTCATGAGCTTGAAAACGAGAAAGCGAAACTGATTCTCCTGTATGTATTTCATCCTTCGTACATAAGATTATCGCCGATAATTTCACTCGTGTATAACTGTGGAATGAGCAGTGATTCACATTCACCTTCCAGGTAATGGTGTGGAAGAGCAACTTTGACTCTGCGGAGGACGGTGACGGCGTCAGGCTGCAGCATCAAACTACTTCCAGCTTGCACCCACTAGCATCCAGCTGCAAGGCTCAGCCCTCCATCAGCTTGCATCCGTGCGCGCTGCGCCGCGAGGTGAGAGACACTTATAGAGCGTGCAGCGATCACACAAACACACAGCACACATCCTTCCATGTATCCACACCTACGCCTTACACGAACAAACGGCTGCGGTCCCGAGTTAACACACCTGGCCTGATGTCTTGCTGAATCGACGTATCCATTAGGACATTTTTTAACTGCTGGCGGGATCCGTCCAATGAGAAAGTATATTATGGGATCACAAAAGCTTGAACACTCGACACGCAGATAAATGATTAGAAACTAAGAGAAAGTGAGAGAACAGCACAGCAATTAGCTGTTAGCTTTTTAAATAGTAAAACGCCTTGTTAGATGACACACACACACACACACACGCAGACAAAGGGGACAAGGTGTCACCGGCTGGCTGGGGAACCAATGGTTTGGGTTTCTCCCCCTTTGACAGCTAAAGTGTTACTTACATCAACAAGGGCAAAGCCTAAGTCCTCTCTGTGCAGTGCCCTTTCTTTCCCCTTTGTGCTCTCTCTCTCTCTCTCTCTCTCTCTCTCTCTCACACACCCTCGTATTGATCGCACTGCTAGAAGTTAAGATCCACAAAAGATGTGAAACAAGTTAATTACAAATGTGATGCGTCATGATTTTTCCATTAAAAGGTGACTCAGCACAAGCTGTGACAACGGTATCAAAGGGTATACAACGCCTGTGTCCTAAGTGGGTGTGGCCTAATGAATGTATATTTTACAAAAAACAGTTTAGCTGACGTTAGAATGGTTATACAGTAATGTCACCAGCCTGTTCAGTGCCAACTGAGAAGAGATTCCGCGTTTTCATCTCAGAATGTTCAAAAATGAAGTGGCCCAAAATCCACTTTGCAATTGGTCGTCATCAGTCGTGGCGTTCATCTATCCCATTGAAGTGAATTGTGACCTGCTGACGGTCTCCTCAAGGGGCGAAGCAACGGCAAACAGCAAGTGACAACGAGTTCAGGAAAATGTTTCCTCAGAAAGTAGCCAAACAAGAAGTCAGATGTTTCTCTCCTGTCAACTGCGACCAAGTACATGAAAACGTGAAAGCAGTCTCCTTCGCGTTGATTCATGTCCTTTAAGCAGCTTTTTTCTTCACGCCATCCACAGAGCACACAGGGTTCTTTTCCTTCTTCTTCTCTCTCTGACGCTTTCTCTTTTGCTTTTGTGCTTCAGGGTTGTGAATTCATTTTAATAGCTTTCCCACATGACACCCGTTATTACAGATGTGCTTCCAAGGGTGATTAGAAAATGGTCAGTTGGATCGACGGGAGAGAAAATGATTAATGCAACGCTTAGAACATTTTATCTTCTTCTGAGAACAACTGTTCTCGTAAAACCCCCATTGAAGCATTTTTTAAAGCTATACGGCCTTGGTCTTCACACTTGATGAATATGACGGTGCAAAACGGTTGAAGTGTTTTAGTCTCGTAAAGAAGTGATGAGTTTATTATTCCATGTTTTCATTATTGGATTAATAATTGCTATAAAAGAGTCTCATCGTGCCTGTGATGATGATGATGATGATGATGATAGTTTCTCATCATGTGGATGAACGGTAAACAGTAGATGCAAAATAGGTTCCATAATGTAGAAAAATCAATACAAAAAACCCACCTCATGCAGTATCTGCAAAGGCAACAGTGGAACTTGCTTGTAACGATTAGGTCGGCTGCATATTCGATTAAATTAGACTGATTTGGGGGAAACGGATTTGGGTTTTTTAATTATTTTGTGTTTTGCTGACCGTTGCAGGTCAAATGTGTTGGTAAACTTGCTGTTACCATTACAGCGTTTGGTTGCCAAAATAACCACAGAGCACCATGCTTTCAATAAATCATATAGTCATTAAAGTACATATTTGACATGATTGAAACAATAATTATACCTGCTGCTTCGGCATTTGACTTTACACCCAAGTTAATTGTCTGTGAATACCAAATAAATATTTTAAATGTCTCGAAAAATGCTCTAATAATATTTATTTCCTGTTAGTTAAAGCACACACACACTTGACCGTATTATTATTATTATTATTTCTTTTATCCTCTTTTGTGAGTCGTCACCTGCCAGTTGTTACGCTGTAACTAATGGTAGTATCTGCACCTGGAAGTGCCAGCTTCCTAGATTTTCCTTGTCATATATTATTTATCCACTCATAATTTATTATTAATACAGGCCCTTTCATCTCTCATAAACTGCCTCAAGTCTCAAACACGTGTTGCCGGCGAGGAAGCAAAAAGGAGAGAAATGTCACCAGCTTTCCTAAATGTGTTTTTTTTCCTTCAAGCAAGCTTCTGAGTTTATGAAAATGGTCTAAAGCGCCGAGATGTTCTAACTAGGGCTGAGCAAGTAATCCATTCAATACATCGAGATGTACTAGAACGCTATTTTCAAACGGGCCGGTTTGTTGTTATGAATGCGACACGTTTTCAGGTGCACGCGCCTCCAGTCTGCTGCTTCATCCACTCTCATGCCAGACGAAAAAAACAACTTGTAAAATGCAGCATTACGCAGAATTTCAGATATTGTCACGAGGCGGCGCGATGCTAAGAACCGACGACCGGTGTGCCAAGCAGCAGAGACCATTGTTGTTCATGTTCAGGAGATTCTTTTTATATTTGTACACACTAGTTTGTGTCATTTATTACTGGAACAGAATAGGATTCTCATCCATGTCGCAGTGCTTTTTGTTATTTTGTTTTTCAGATTAATATTATTCTTTAGTGTCATCCAGCCCTGTCTGAAGTGAAGTTGTGAATGAACTTATTTTCCAGTGAGGCGTAATGTGGTAAACAAGATGTTCTTTCTGAAAGCGGCTGTGACCGTAGTTGTTGAACGCTGCTGCTAGCAAAAGCCAGACTTCTTACAAGAAGCACAACCTTCACATCGCATGCATTTTTATTTGTTTATCTATATCTATATATATTTATACCAAAATTGGAATGACCAATGAGACCACCTCCTCTCATTCTTGGGCATTTGCAGAGAATTGATGGTACTAATTTAATATTAGTAAGGATTTTTTTTTTTTTTGCATAATGGTTAGAATTTAAGGCATTTCAGATTCATTGACTAATGTACTTATATTCTTGAACCAAATTGAGACAGGTTTTTTAAAATTGATTTTTTTTAGGACATATGCGCGTAGTAACTAATGGAATGTGTTGTATTTGTATCCATAATAAATATTATTATAATATTTTGACATTAAAAGCTTTTCAAAAAAGACAAATGGGATAATCTCCATGAGGTCATTGGCGGGCTCAGGCTGGTGTTGAATGGAAAGCGGGCAGGACTGCTGCCCTTTAGCCCGATGTGAATGGTGTTTTAAACCGTCCCTCATGCCGTCCTGAACATCCAGTATTACACACCTCCGCCTCTGGCTGAAATTCACTTCCCCGGGAAGAAATGCACTAATGAGACGCTAATGTTTATTCATGCAGAGGCAAAGGCCGCCCAGGGCCGCTGCCCTCTCAGGATCACATGGCTCCCCAACAGGGATTTCATAAATGGCTAATTTGATGCGCTCATCCTTTAATGCACTTGGATGCGAAGCGCCGTGACAATTTGTCAGTGATGGGCACTGTAGCAGTAACACGCAGGCCTGTTTGTTAAACACGCTAAGCCGTCTTTTAAATCACCGCCCCTCTCCCTTAAACATTGAGAGTGTGTGCGTGTGTGTGTGTGTGGTTCAGTCAGGCTGTCTCTGTGCTAAACGCAGCTGAGCAAATCTCTAAACGGCGCTGTTACGGTGTGTGAGAATAGATGCGTGTGTTTGTGTGTGTGTGTGTGCGTGTGTGTGGACGCACCAACCACTGCTGACAGGCAGATCAGCTCTTTCTGATCACATCCGCCCTAATCCCTTCTTCCATCCGTCCCCACCTCAGCTCCCCTCCCCCCCTTCCTGTCTCTCGCCTCACATCTGGGTCTTTCTCCCACTCACGTGTGCCGTACAAACACACACATGTGCACACACATCACTGCACGGCTCGGCTTCTGTGATGTGGATTGGAGAGCGAGGGGGGGGGGGGGGGGCTCTGAGACTGCAGTAGCTGTGTGAACTTCACCATTATTGGTTGATTTTTATTCATTCACAGAAGCCACTAGGCAGCTGTAACTGTGCTGGAGCAGACTCAACTCTGCTGGCAGTCTCTTTTAATTAAAGCCTCAACCAGCAGAGAAACAAAATATGAGGACATATACAAATTGCACGGAATACTGCAGTTTTTGGTGACACGGTTTGTGGTTGTGTGCACTCATTTCTAAAGGGGCTGGTCGGCAGCGGCAGGTGGTATTGTTCCGACAGCAGGAGTTGAATGCACGTGACAGCGGGGCAGAGGGGCAAAGGCAGGGGGTGTGACAGGGGAGTGTGGAAGACAAGATAGCAATTGTGTAAAAGAGAGCCTAATGGTGTAGTGAGAAGCAGGAGAGCATCCGGTGGAGAGAGAGAAAGGTAGCAAACGGGGAAAACGAGCACGTGAGCCAGTCGGCCCCCATCAGCACCACAGACCCCAAAAGAGAGGATCGAGATGGGAAGTGGCCATTAACACCTGTTCATCCTTGTTACACTTAAGACGGAGAGAAGGGGGTGAGAAGGGATGGGATTATAGAAGCAGTAAAAAATAAAAAAAATAAAAAAGTGGAGCAGGAAGAGATGTAAGTGGAGCCAGCAGCCAGACGGAAATGGAAAAGTGAGGCACCGTTAATGAAAGACTTCAGCGAGAGGTTCCCTCACTTGTGCGTTCTGTGAGCTGCAGCCGAGGCTAAAAGCACAAGCTGATCTGATTCACATAAAGTTTACATGGCGGAATGTCTTCTTCCTGCGGATAAGTGGGTGCGTCGTTGGATTAAGACTTCAGTGATGCTACAATGTTTTGGAAGGGAAGAATCTCGTTGTGTAGAGCTCAAACTCCGCTCCAAATGTTGGTGCAATACTACGAGAACACGCGCTGGAGATGTCCACCCCCCGTAAAATGTACTGCTAACTCCTGATTAGAGTATGAGGTTAAAGGAGACCGGGCTGGACGGATAGGGGTGTGTTCATTCATTCAATGTTTCAAGTAATACTGATCTGACATAGATAGGTAGCCAATAAATGGATACTAAAATGTTTAAAAAGCTCTCCTTTTTGTCATGTCCCTGCTGGGTAAACACAGGTGTAACTGTGGTCTTTATGTGGGCCTCGGGGGAATGACTCACTCAATTGAATGGGACCATGATTGATTATATCGCTGATATCTGTGTTTACCCTGTTATGTATAAATGGCTACTGTGAAAAGGTGTGCTCAAATGTTCTAGTCCCACCGCTACGTGTGCGCCGCGGGCGTCCCGTCAGCGCTGCAACACTGACGGCGCAGCTGCAGCGTTCTGAACCAAAAAGACTTTCAAAAAGGTCAACGATGACAACTGTAAGGTTATGAATGGACTTTCAGTATAAATAAATAGAAGAGCATGAAACGGTGCAAGTGTGTCCTAAGCGCTCGTGTGTCTGCGTGAGACCGCTCCACTTCGCTCCTCTCAATCAGCGGCATCTCATCCAGCGGCAATCAAAGGTTGCCGTGGTGATCGTAGCCGCTAAGTGCCTCCTCGGTCAGACAGCGGATCTTCGATTCGGGTCGACTTGCGCCTCTTAAACCTCTGCTTCCTGCCGTGATAGTGTGGTGAAGCTATTGTTTTGTGTGTGCATCTGTGTGTGTGAGCGTAGCCGTTCATATCTACAGTTGCCAGTACGCACTTTTACTTACAGCTCATAACACTTTAGGTCGTGTAACACATCACTGTTCTGTCTGCTCTTGTCCTTGCCCCTATTTTCTACCACACTTGTTTAAAGACCTTCCAGTTTCTCAATGAACGTCCTCACCAGACCTCTCCAATTGCAGCCGTTTTGAGTTTTCATAGCACTTTCATGATGACTCATGTGCCAGCATGCATACTAGTGTAGCAGCCCTGCCGAAAGCACATGAAATGTAGCCATTATCAATGTGAATATAGTGGAATATAGTTCACCTGTCTTTACTTTTCTGCTCTATTCTTTAAAAAAAAGAAAAAACTTTCAGGTGGGTGTTCACAATGTGCGTGTGCGTGTTCATGTGCACGTAGAGTGATGGATGGTTTTTTATGCAGCTTGCGAAGCGTGTTGATGGCTCGCTGTGTCCGACTAATTTGGGCCTCAGGAAATTTTCCACTGTTGGTTTTTCCACTTCAGGTGATTCATTAGGAAGGTGGTTACCGTGTGTACTGTGGTTGTAAGCACAAGTGTGTGTGTGTGTGTGTGTGTGTGTGTGTGTGTGCGCGTGCGCGTGTGCGTGTGCGCTTTTGTCAGGGTTTTCCCCGGACCCACGCAAGACTACAGCAGTACAGGACTTGTTGAGTTTGTCCAACAATATATTGTTTTATCGTCGCCAACGCTATGTACACATGTCAAATGACAAAGGATGGTTCGTAATGAGAAAAGTAAAGACACTTCTGCGTGAACCATTTTACCGCTTCATCGCAAATGATCACGGCTTTGAGAAGTTCACCCCAAAGCCAGAGCGATGCCACAGTACTTCATGTAGTCGGATTGATTCACAATCATGTGTAAATTTTTTTACTAACTAAATTCCTTTTTTTAAATAGTAATGTAGTCATTTTATTAGTAAAGTAAAAAGCTACATTTGTTGTTTATGTCTAAATATTTTGACTTTAAAAAAAACAAAAATGTCTTTCTCATGTAGCCTCCGCTTTTGTGCACGAGCATGTGTGTTTACATGAGGACCTGTGACGTGTTGTATTAGTTGCAGACCTGTTTTCATTTTTGCCTGTAGCTGACCCCCCCAATGCACCCCGTAATGTATTGAGATCGAATCAGCACGTTGCTGAAGGGCATCAACTTCCTCTTCTGACATTTTCTTCCTCTGCAAATTCAATTGATCCTGGCTGTGTGATCTCGTTTTCATATCTCACACTTTTTCGCGGAGCTGGCTTTACCTCCTCTTTTATTCTGTGCCACCTTTACGCATTATCTAAAAGCGTTGTGTAAGTTGTCCATCGTCTGAACCCTGTCAGGGAATGTCGTACTTTCGGTGAAACTTATTTTCTGTGTTTGTTTTGTTGTGTCAGAACTGACACGCAGACGTTTTATCCACCGACCGTCGCAAATATGTTGAGTTCTGGCAATGCTTCTGGAACGCACACTCTCTCTCTCACACACACACACACACACACACACACACACACACACACACACACACTACTACTGTCACAATCAGACAGAGGTCTGTGTAAAGGGACGGAAATATGAAGAAACCCATAGATGTGTGTGTCTTTAGTCACAAGTTGATGGAGAGATGTGGTCACTGACCTTCAAGTGTTTATGTCTCATTGAATTAATCATGAAGCAGACAGACCGTGTGTGTGTGCGTGCGTGTGTGTGTGTGTGTGTGTGTGTGTGTCTGTGTATGGTTGTGTGTGTGTGTAGCCCTTGTGAAGTCTTTCTAAAAGGCTCCTTTAGCCCCTTTCCCCCCAATCATTTTCATCATTTTGTAATGTCATGTTTTGTTATCAACGATCCTAAACTCACGTCTTGTGTTGCCAGAAGTTGCACATCTGACCGTGTGGGTCCAGTTTGAAACTTTGTGAATTTGATTTTGTACTGAACAGAAAAAAGTCCATCTTCATGTCATATTTTCATGATGCCCCACATCATCGATCACATAAAGGATGACCTTATCATAACTTACATTCAGTCTGTACAGAGGACACCTTTTTGTCTTTTAGATACTTTGATTCAGAGATGGACAAGCTCCCCCAAAACCCCCTTTACAATGGAAAACAAAACATATATATAAGTATATATTATGGGCTGAGAATGTCTCGAGAGTTCTTCTTACATAGATACATACTGTAGATATGGTGATGACTGTTCAGAAAGTCAGCCTGCAATTCATCAGTTATCTAATTTGTTGTGAAAGAAACCAGAGCCATTGTATTTCCAGTATATGCAACTATTTGAGTCAATTTAAAAATTGTTGTGGTCTACAAAATAAACAAATTGCCCCCTTATTTCACAGTCTTTTTTTCTTTTTTGCACTTTAGGAGCACAAACCACCGGGAGAAGCGCACCTTCCACTCTCAACACCACACATTCTGCGCGGAGCACATCAACAAGCTCTTCACCTCCTTTCCTCTCTATTTTCAGGCTTCTGAACCATCTGAACATTTTAATGGACGGGACTCCCACGCCGCCGCCCACACGCAGAGCGCCAGTCGCAGTGTCAGCCACAGCACAGCGACTCCTCCCCACGCCCACGGACCCCTCGGCAGCGCCGCCTCCTCCTCCGCCCAGCGGCCTCCGAGCCGCGTTTCAACACAGCACCCCCTCCGGGTCGCAGGGACGCCGGGGGGAGGAGTCCCCCCTGGTTTAGCCAGCACCCTGGAACACATCGTAGGCCAGCTGGATGTTCTCACTCAGGTAAGCAGGAGATGTGTTGATGCTTCAAACAGAAAGCGCTGCGCTTCGGCAGCGCCGCCCACTCACGCCACGCAGAACAAACGCTTTTCTTTCCTTTCAACACGCGGCCCGGAGATGAATGTAGCAACACAAAGAGAAAAATGTTGTTTAAAAAAAGAACTTCTTCTGTTGTGACTGCAGCCGACTGGCACATTGACTCTACACAGGTGTACAAGACATCTCCATTCTGGGGAAACAACAATTTCTCCTTATTGTCTGTTTGCTTCCCAAATGAACCGTGTTGATTAAGTAGGTTAACTTGAGTTCTTGCTGCCTTCATGCTTGGGGAGATATTTAACTCAACCAGTTTGCTCGTTCTTATCTTACAGTCCAATTAACCCAGAGCCTGCAGGACTAAAAACAAACCCTCCAACACAAACACAAACGATCTTCAGTCTGTTCAGATTCAGAAGTCATTTCATTATTACGTTGTGTGCGTTTGTTTAGCTCCATAGATGTGGTCGGTGATGGATACCGAGACTCCTCACTTGTGCAGTAGCTGTTGTAGAATAAATCAGAACGTGGGACGCTTAGCATGTCGGCACAAACCTGAGAAAGAGAAATTCCACATGAAGCAATCCACCCAGCTGTCCTCTCCCGTATGAAATGAAATCACTGCAGCTGTTAAATCTGCAACTTGTAATTCATCTTTCTGGTAAACATTAGGCGCAATGGACTGCAACAAGTTTGATTTTTTTTTTTTTTGCTGTTAATGTTTTTATTTAACAAGCTTCAGCCGGTTGCACTTTGCACCAGATCACACTTCATTGCAAATAGTTCTCTCCAACTATTTAGTTAATTATGTGTATCTACATCTACTCTTTGGTCAGATAGTGTAAAAGACCACTTAGTAACCTTATAAGTCAGCAGTGCAACTTCTAAGACCCTTAAGAAAAAATACCAACAACTCATAATGTGTTGATCTTGTGTGTTCATGTTATGCCTCCAAACAGTATTCTCCATAAATATGAATATGGTTCCTTCCTTGTGTTAGCTCATAGTTAGTGCCAATAATACTGGATACAAGTGCTACATTGAACAAAAAGACCTGTGAATAGCTGAAAAGAAGATGCTTCTTTTTCTGCAAAGAATATATTGACAAAAAAGACAAATGCATCATTTGTGTATGAGGTGTGGCAGCCCTTTGCCCTCACACACTGATGTGAGGTGAAAGTGCTCAACGGCCACGCTGACACGTAGAATCACTTCTCGCATGCATGCGTTTCTCGCTGTGTTTTTTTTCTTTCTTTATTCTTCTTTCAAGCCGCAGTCCAGCATGTGGGAGCATTTAATATTGGCCCAGAGCAGCCAGGCTAACCCATCCCAGGGGGGGGCACGTTTCCAAACTTCTTCCTTTCAAGCCCACTGTACCCCGACCCTGATACCAGATGGATCGTCTGCATCTGGTTTTTATCCTTCTGCTCTTTCGATGTTCGGTTTCATTCCCCTTTTCTCTAGATGAGGACAAGAGATTGACACAACTGGGAAATGTTCTTCCTGCAGAGTTTTCTTTATTTTATTCACATTTCTGATCTGACCTTCTTAAGGGTTTATTCACAAGGAGTATTGGATACATATTTACTCCTTATATGGCGTGCAACTTCTGTTCATGTCTTTCTTTCTCACTGTGCCGATGCACCATTACAAATAAATCATAACAGAACTAATGACAATGTTGAGATGAAATGACGCTGTGGAGTGGAGACATCGAGTCCTCTAGTAGCGCTCTGCAGCAGTCTGTTTAAATGATTAGTTATGGCTGAGTCCACGTTTACTTTATCTTATGCGTACGCACGCGGTGATGTAATTCACATTCCTGCATTAATCCACCGGTCGCCAGTTGTTCGTAATATAACTTTAAAAAAAGCCCAAATACCCCAATAAAGGAGAAGAATGGATTCAAACACCCTCTGTCAATTGGGAAGGAAATAAATAGAACACATGACTGGACCTTGAGTCTAATTAGTGAGACAATGTTATAACATTAAATCTCAGCATCATTTTAGGGTGTGGAACATTAAACTGAATATTTTCAAAGCCAGCATGAAACTCGTTTAAAAAGCAATTTTACGGTTTTACAATGGACAACACGTTGCCAGAACAAGATCATATTAGAATAAAGTCACCCGTCTTCCCATTTCTGTTGAGTTTTTGATCGGGGCTGACAAAGCAACATTATTTCTTTATTTCGACTTCGGAGACTGAGAGGGAAGATGATGAATTATTCACCGTTATCCTGAAGCTGCAGTTTGCTGTGTTAGCTGCTTTTCACTTGTCTGCCCCCCTCGCACCCCCCCATCCCACCCAAAGACCTCTTTCTTTTACCTCTCCCAGTTCCATGATGCATTACCCTCACATGTCCTCTCGCACTAAGCCCGTAGTGCCCCCACTTAACCCCTTTCATCACAATCGCCGTCCTCATTGTGAAGGATCGTGGGAGGACTTGTGTGTGAGTGGCGCCGTCTTTTCCTCCATTGACTATGAGACAGAAGGTGAGACGGTGCTGTGAACTCGCTCAGCGATGTGGCTCAACGGGTGACAAACTGTAACAGAAAGTCTTTTATTAACACAAACTCTTTTTTGAAAAAAAAAGAATATTTTCGTTGTTATTCCCCCAAAAGTAGGCAGACACAACTCGCCACAACTCTTTTTTTTTTCTTCTTCTTCTGCTTAACAAGTATTTCGTCAGAATAGATGTACGTAGAAGTGGACCACTTCACTGTTGTCGTGTTCCTGTTAAAGAGCTGCGAAGAATATCAAGAGAAAGAGAAAGAAACATGTTCCTGTTCCTCAAAAAAGATCAGAACCGTTTCTGTGAAGTGTGGGTTCTGAAAACCACTAAACCGCCGGCTCACCAAATGCTCTCTGAAGAATTACGATCTCACCGCAGTGTTTGAGATTCTGAGGAAACGGAGGCCGTCTCTTATTTGCAGGTTTTAAAGTGGTGAAACGCTGCGACAACAAAATAAAAAATGTCCACCAACACAATTCATCTGCCTTTAGAAATAATAGTAGCGCTGTAGTCCGTTGACTACAGCGCATCGTGCGTAGACAGAGTCACAGTCCAGGCCACCAATTCTCTTATGATACAAGAAGAAAAATTAAAAACAAACTACTTTTTCCTCTGGAATTTTGCCATAATGTCGCTTTAAAACTTATTAAATTCATTACATTTAGAAGTGTAACAGTACCTGAAGGCTGTGGCCGTGTTCACAACGTCATGGTCGGGTCGGTTTAACAAAACAACAGCAGTTCCAGTATGACACTTTAGATCAGTGGATATTTTGAATAATGAAGAAGAATGAATGAAGAATATTCTGATTATATTGTTGAATATATTATTTTTCCCAAACGTGTCCTCTCCATGTCAAATGAAATGCATATTTGCACATTTAAAGTTACTACTTGAGGTGGACGCCGTTTTGGTTACAAACAAGCTCTTCAGTCAGTCCGTAGTATTTGTCTTTTTAAAGTCACTTCCACGTCACATACGAGGTTTCCACACAATCTATTATGTTATTTTTAGAACTCACATTAGCAGTTACCAGCATTCACTGAAAAGAACAGACTGCAGACGGGCTCCAGTTTGCCTTCCTTTGACTCTTTTTGCCTCTTGTGGGGGGGGGGGGGGGGTCATACCAAAGCCATGAGGCCAGCAGCGCTTCGGGCGATGGAGAGCACAATGTGTTCAAAAACAGCTCGCTCTATTTTAAGGAGCATAAAGATTTGGTTTCTACTCCAGATGAAAACTATATGGCCATATAATGGTGCTGCTGCTGCCCGGGGACACGTGCAGAGAATCACACACACACACACACACACACACACACACAGAGCTGGCTGGGCCGAGGACTGTGCAGCCATATCAGGTTGGTAAGATAAACAGGGTGGTATTGATCGAGAAAACGGAGGCAGGCAGAGAGAAGGAGAGAAGTGTGGGGGGGATATAAGCCCTTTCTCTCCCCTCGAACCACGAGATAGCAGCAGATGTTATCTCGCGTGATGGGGAGAAAAAAAAAGACAACACCACATGTGCGCACCTCGTTCAGGTATCCGCGCCGAGGATGAGATTACCTCGATTAACCTCGCGGCGGCGCGTTGGACTGTTGGTGCCCGGTTGTGTGGGTTTTCAGCACTGCGGCGTCCACGCGCCGCTTCAGTGGTCGACCACCGAACAGCAGCCGTATCGCTGGAAACACGCTGAACTGTTTCTGCTACACGTATTGTTTATTTACGGCCGGTTCCGTTAAGGCCTGTGAATATGACCCGTCGACTAAAGATGCAAGGAGTGGCGTTCTGCTGGGCGGGTCTGTAATGACAGATGAGATGATGATGATGATGATAAAAACAAAACAAAACCAAAAAAATGAGATGAATTTAATGGATGAGCGCTGAAGTGGATGCAGGTTCGTCTGAGAACATGCAAAGTAAACCTCACCAAGAACGCGCTTGCACTGTTTTTCAGAAAGACCGATGAAGTAAATGCTAATAAAGCGACTGTATTGAATTACAGAAGCAGGCGGAAAAGGGGTTTTCAACTTCTTACGGATGAGTCTAGCTGCCGATTGATGCATCTATCAATCATCAAACTGTTAGGGAAAGAGGGGAAGTGTCGACAACTTTGGTCCACCAAACAAATGACACCATCAGTTGCGCGATTATTGAATGACGTAATGTGGGTAAAATAGTTAAACACGCCTGTGAAGTAGACTTTTAATCTGAGAATGAAGCCTGAATTCAGTCCCCTTTTCTAAACCCGCCTCTGGTTTTTCATTTTTCCTTTACCCTTTGTCCTTATTTGCAGTCATGAGCTTGTTCTTTGCTGTTAGTCTTTTCTAATTTGAATCAAAGGAATTTGGGGCAACTTGTCGTCAATGAGTTGGCAGTTAGTCCGTACGCGTGGACAAAGTAATATCTATCATTTGTGGAGGGGAGATACTTCTGGAAAAAACATTAACTAATCAATCCAATCGCAATCTTTAAACTCTGAATAGTTACTGATGCACTGAGGAGACATTTCACCATCATGATCATATTAATCTGCCCCTACGTTAGAGGTGCGTCTCATATCATCACTTTTAAGTAAGACTACTGTATAGTTTTAATAAACTAAGCCAGCATCGAGTTACTTTTCATTGAAACGATACCGGAAAGGCGCAGCTGTTTTTATTTAGATAAATGACTCATATCTGCGTTGCTTTCTAACAATCTTTCAAGTTGGGACGTAAAATGGTGCGAGACAACTCGACGTGTCTTTCACTCAGCGGCCCCGAACCCAGAAAGGGGAGACGTGTTTACTGTTTGATGGTTCCTGCTCTGGACCAAATTAACGTTGCCAAGCATTAGTAGTCAAAACCGCTTACAGGTTTGTCACCAGGCAACTAAACTTAAGTAAAAAATGATGTTAGAGATTTAGAGGGAAGTGTTTTTAGATTCATTCAAGCATTACTTTTCCTGTAGTTAATTCACCTTTTTTTGTTCTTTTGGTTTAGCGAAACTCTTTTTTTTTTTTTTTTTTTACTTTTCAGATTTTATTATTGATTAGATTATGATAAGACGGCAAAAGAAAAAGAAAAACACCTTTTCTTGTAGAATTGTGTGGTTCAAGCCAATTTTCAAGCTATTTCAAGCCAAGTTAGTCTGTATAGAACCTTTTTAAAAACATTTGTTGTAATTGTCAAGTAAAATGAAGTAGGATTTAATCAAATAAAGTTTGCTGACGGAACATTAAAGATACTTACTCAAAATAGAACTGAAATAAAATAAGTAAGTAAATAAGTGTAGCTCAGCTGAAAAGTGATTTGCTTGAATTCTTCAGTTTATCGTTTATAGAGCTTTCAGGTAATCTAAATGAAATATAAGTGGACAGAAGCAGTAAAGTTTTATACTTTATAAGTTTGATGATCAGCCGGACTTCTTAATGCAACGAGCTCACTAAGACATTTTTACAGTGTAGGGAACCTTTTGGGTTAATATTCTTCTAACATATTAGAAATGTGTTTAAACTAATAAAGTGTCCCACTGGCAGCACTTTGCTCAGTTCTTCCCCTCATTAGAACTCTTCCTCCAATCTGTTAACAGCTGATTTCGTTCACGTCGGATACAATAATCGGTAGAAAGGCCTCAGTAATCGCTTCATTGACGCGGTGAAATGGCACCTCGCTGCTCCTCTGGTGAACAGGCTCAGATGACACCAATGCACAACAAATGCTGTCACTGTTGCAGCAGACCGGGGAGGAAAAGTATGTCGCGCTGTGATCTCACTACCCACACACGCCCGTCCTGATTCGGATAGCGACCTTCTTGTATTCTCCGTGTGCGTAAGAGTGTTTATGCAACTGTGTGAGAGGCAGAACAAGAGCGAGTGCGTGCCAGACGCAGAAACTCTGGCCTTTTTCGGCTCAGGCTGCAGATCTCGCTGCGATAATCAGCTGGATTGTCTCGCATGCCCAACATCTGTCTCCAACACACACACACACACACACACAACTGCCTCTTTCACACACACAAACACAGCCATTATATAGTCATTACTGTCAAGCTGATGCTACACAGCCCTCTCTAACATGCCCTTTGTCTCTCCTCCATCTCCTTCCTTTCCCCCCTTTTCTTCCTCCCGTCTTGTCGCCTCCGTCCAGACGGTTTCGATCTTGGAGCAGCGTCTGACGCTGACGGAGGACAAGCTCCAGGAGTGTTTGGAGAACCAGATGGAGATCGGTCTGCATCTCCAGAGACCAGAGGAGGCCTAAAGATGGCCGCCCCCCAGAGAGAGGCGGAGCCGCGGCACGAGGGGGGGGAAACGGGGGTCGCACCGACCACATTAACGGAAACACGTTTGCAGTACTTGCTGCTGCTGCTGCTGCTGCTGTTGTTGTTGTTGTGGGAATCACACTTCAAATGTGCAACGCTTTCCCGCCCGGACTTGAAGTGCACTCGGGCCTCGCTGCTGACGCACGGTGCCGGCTGGATTTACAAAGAGATATCAGGAGTGAAGGAGTTGAATATCAGAGAAGTTGTTATTCCCCAGGAGTGCTGAGGCCGCAGTCCCCTTTTCTGCTGACAAAGGACCCGCTGCTACAAGTCACTGTGTGTGTGTGTGTTTGATGGGTGCCTGTTCTAAAGTATAGACACACGCAAGAGACTTTCATACTTGCCGTCGCACTACACGTGTGGGCGTTATTTTCATGCACGTGCAGGATCACGTTGAACGGCATCTGAAGGAATTGTTGTTTGTTTGTTTGTTTTTAGTCAAAAACCACAGAGCGGGTTAACGGTGATCACGGGAAGTCCGTAAGTTACACACACTCATTGTTTTAGACGCACAGGAATCCTGTTCATATGTTGCAGAAAGAGGAGGAACAGGAAACCCGCGTTTGACCTTATTGACTGTTCATGTTTGTTTACTGCGGATCATTTGTAGAAGCGCTGCAGGAAGTTGAACTGGTGCATCCTCAGTAAATACTCACTAGTGCAGCGAATGAGTGTGAACCCGGGCCTGAAGGTATGCTGTAACCAATGCACCGTTGTCCTTTTTATTAAAATCTACATCACTTTGCCGTTTAAGAAGCGTATGTTGAAATTGAACATGCATGTTGGATATGTATATATTTGAGTCCGGTTTCTAAGGGTTTGACACTGGGAACCAATCGGCTCACGGCTGAGAACCACAGGCGGATGAAAGTCAGAAAGTATAGAGAGATGCACCCACACATTGTTGTATTGTTAACAACGAAATACAATTTTAAATAAAAGGTAGGATATACTTCAAATTGAAAATAAGGTATTTTTTGGGGATTATCAGCGCAGGATGGCTGATTGTAATTACTGCAGTTTGTAAGGTATATGTCTAGTTGAATCCCTTTGATATACTTTGAATATTTTATTCGTTGGAAGTAGATTACAGTGTACTGGGTTGATAAATATTCTCAACGGTTATCTGTGAAATAAGTCGATGAATGTGAATGCGGTTGCTCTTACACAACACTGAGCTCTTTTTGTGCAACGAGGGAAATCGTTTGTTTTCATAATCGTTGCCAAATGGATGATGTCACCGGGTTACTTTTTAAAGGGACAGTTTCCTGCTCTGGTCCACGGAGCTCAAGGGGTTTCCCGAGAAATCGTGACTTTTCCGTCTTTATTGTCCTCAGCAGAGATGTTCAGTTCACCAGTTGTCTGTTTTCAACCCTTCCTTTGCCATGTTGTGAGTGACTATCGACTACAAACACATGGAGGTGTAAGGCTAAATACACCTGCCCTGCTTGTATCCAGAATCCTTAAGTCCCCCCCCTGAGTAATTTACGTAACCTGACCACTAATGCTGGATAAGTACTTTTATTTTTAGACGCTCAATGAAAAGGAGCCCGAGGCCGCGCTCGGCTGCTCGCTGTGCGGATTCATCGGGGGCCATAAAAGACCTTTTCATTCATCAGACTTTTTTTTTTTTTTTTATTGAACAAACTGGTACTATGTTTACGCAGTGCCAGTATAGTGAATCATACTGGGTCCTATTGTGGAGGTCTCAGAGAACAGTGCGCCGCCACTAAGAGGGGAAAATATTGACCACTGTTTCTTTAAGGCGCGCGGATGGAAAAAGAAGAAAAAACAAAACCGGAATTCTGGAGCTGTTTCTGCCGGGCCCACTCTCTTCCTTCCTGTCTGGGGCCCGAGGACACGCACAAACACAGACACACACACACACACACACACACACACACACACACACTCTTGCCAGAGAAAACGGCTCCCTTCACTATGGGCCTCAACCAGACGGCCTGCCAGGAGCTCTAGAGGAGGAGAGGAGGGGCTGAAGTGGGTTCAATAGCTGCGAGTCGTTTGTGTGTTTGTGGGGAGCAGTTTTAAACCTTTGGTAGTGACGACATTTCTTCAAAGCGAAGAACTCAATAGCTAGAATAATATAATAGATACTCACAGGATTGTTTCAGTCTTAAAGTGACGAGAGTTGAAATGATGCGTCGGTTAGAGACGACTCGGTTAATCAATTGAGAGAAAACGAATCCGTGGTAACTTTTCCACTTTAACGATTTGTTGCTTTTCTTCTCTTCAGTTGATTGGGAAGTGAAAATGCTGTGAAACAAAACGATACATTTAAAGACGTCAAATTGAACTCACGACAGGACGTGATTGTATTTCTTTGGCTATTTCCTCCTCATTTTAAAAAACCAAACCGTAAACCAAAGGAAAACCTGAAATATTACCCGCGTATGAAATCTTTCTTTAGTTGCCATCCTGGTTCATTTGAGGCTAAAGGCCCCTGTGCAGTGTTGCATGCATCTGATAAACTGGACTTCCTGTAAGGAAATCTCTGTAAAATAGGTCAACATGTCGCTGGACTCTAAACTGTCACAGCTCGCCACACTTCACGACTCCTCTGGTGTGTTTGGGGGCTTTGGTTTGGTTGTGATGTTCAAGGATGGAAGGAACGCTCCGAGGGGTCATCACAGATATGCTGCACAGATGTGTGAGTCTGCGTGCGTGAAAAGAAAGGAAAAGAGTTGGAGAGCAAACCTCTAATATGTAGCCCACGTGTGGCCCACAAGTGTGTGTGTGTGTGTGTGTGTGTGTATGTGTGTGTGTGTGTGTGTGTGTGTGTGAGAGACTGCGTAGGAGGGGGTTGGTGATCTTATAAGGAGAACATCTGGATATGTTTTTCCTGGTGTGCTGTGGTTGCTGCTACTGCTTGACTTTGTGCGGGTCAGTGTGTGTGTGTGTGTGTCTTTTTTTTGCTCTCCTGCTACTCTTGGCTTCTTTTTTTGTTTTGCTTTTTCTCTTCAAATTTGAGATTGATTCTTAGAATCGTCTGCGCCTCCGACTTGTAATCTGTCTTTGGTGCTCGTGGGTTTGACAGTGTGGGTCACTGCACAAAGAGCCGTTAGCAGTTCCAGGAAAGCAACGCGAGGCGGAAGCACCGTAGAAAAACCCACAAGCACAAATCGCTCTATAAATGTTATTACTTTACAATAGACCTCTCGGCAACGGAGTCAAATTAACGATAGCAAGCAGAGGTATGTGAGTGGGGGAGGGAGTTGGGGGGGGGGGGGGGGGGGCATTTGCTCTCTTTACAGCCCCCTTTTTGAAAGGAGGGGAAACTTGTTGGAGAAACTCAGTCCCACCATGTCTTCTCTGACCGCTGCTGCTGGATTTGGCAATATTCCCCTGTGCCTCATTTCCTGCTTCACCCCTCCTCCCCCAGCCCGTCCCCTCCTCTCTCTCTCTCTCTCTCTCTCTCTCTCCCCCCCTCCCCTCCTGATCGCCTCCCACTCCTTCACCCTTTGAGACGAAGCCGAGCTTGTCGGCAGTGGCTGAGGTTTGGCGCTGTGCTCCTCCAACCTACGCTTCAGCTCCAGCTTCTGCTCCAAAAAACTATATTTTCCATTTGATCCCGGAGAGAGCGAATGCACCACGGCAGTGAGGTTTCTTTTCATTTAGTCTCCCTCTGTTGTAAGCCGATTCAACAACAGCAACAGCAAAAAAAAAAGGCTTTTAATCCAGTTCACCAACTTCTGGCGATCTGAAAAAGGAGCCCCAGCTCTTGTAAAAGCAAGTTCATGCTGCCCTCTTATCACGGGTCTATTTACGGGTTCATGCCAGGGAACGCAAACTTCTGCTGCTCAGCCAAGACTTCTATTCTATACACGTCCGTGAGGTATATTCACAGTATATATTTTGTAGAAGTGCTTACAGTAGAAATCCCTCATATGTAATTTCCAGGTGACAAAAATACAACCAGTTCAGGGGTGTGTGTGTGTGTGTGTGTGTGTGTGTGTGTGTGTGTGTGTGTGTGTGTGTGTGTGTGTGTCCAATGCTGTGTGTGTGTGTGTGTGTGTGTGTGTGTGTGTGTGTGAGTGTGTGTGTGTGTGTGTGTGTGTGTGTGTGTGTGTGTGTGGTGTAGTGTGTGCTGTGTAGTGTGTTGTGAAGAAATAGATAGACACACAATGACTCACCTCAATGCTTTTACAATCTGGCCTGCATAGTCACAGTGTGTTTGCTCTGCAGATTGATTAGATAGAGTAGGCGTACAGGTGTTTTTTTTTTTAACCCAAATAAAGAGTTGACCGGACTTGATGTTGCTTTTCTCGTGTTGGTTCATTGATTTATTAAATACTCACTCAAGCTGGGAATAAACCGGTCCCTGTGTGTGCGTGTGTGTGTGTGTGTGTGTGTGTGTTCTGGATCAGACATCTGCAGAGATTGAGAGGGCAGAGTTTGAGGTGGTGACTCAGCTTTTTGGAGGATTTCTACTGTTAACTCTCCATTCTGTGTTTGGAGACTTTTCATTTTGTTCCTCAGCCCGACGGGAGAGTTTTGTTAAATCAAAGAGGTGCAGATCAAACCCTTTGCTGTGACAACCTCGTCTCTTCTGCATATTTGTGTTAGTGAATAGATTCCGATGCAACTGGCAGCACTTTGTGAAAGTGAGGAAATATTCATGTATCAACATTGAAATGAAGCCCAATGCTGCCACGCCAGCTGCTTTGTGAGGCAGCACCACTGCACAGTGGTACTTTAGACTAATTGCATGCTACCGTGCTCATATTCTACCGGTATAATTTTGATCAACTGAAATGTCATCCGTTGGTGCCGCTCAATGCCGCCTGACCTGCTCCCTGTGACTTCTGGGTGAAGTGAAAAGGCCTCAGTATTCTCGAATATCCAATCTGCACCGTGTGATACGGCACCAACTATACTCAACTTGTCTGTTTTTGGTTTTCCAAAGTCACTAGATAGTGCCTGGCTTTTTTCTTTTGGATATAATTCAGGTTGAGGTTCCAAACAAATTGAGCTGTCACTACAAGGTGCCGACCGCTGATCGGCCAGCAAACATCAATATGGCATCCGCATTTCTTTTTATTCATTAGAAGTGGATAGTTAAAAGCTAGACCTAAATTTAAATAAATGGCGGCCTTTAAAACCACATCTGCACTGAAGTGCAGACGTTGTGAACGTCGCGTCGGTTCCCTGATGAAAGTGTCGGCTCGACGATCCCTGCAGCAGTGACTCAGTGTCCCAACCACAGTGGAAACCCAAAGAGGACCCGGTACTGAAAAACGAGTGGAAATGAGACACTGAGCCTCATTTTTCAGAAGCGGTGGAAGTAAACATCCAAAATGGACATTTGTATGTTTATCTTATTACACATTTGCTGTTTGTATCCGTAGCATTCAAAGAGGCCTCACTTGCATATCCAAACAAATAAATGCTGTTCTCTTTCTAGGGATCAACAGAAGAAGTGTCATGGTATCATCTATTGTATTATTTCCCATTTAGCGTCCTGCACAAATACAGAAAACTTCATATCTTTGAAGGCCATTTACGCAAAACATTTTTTTTGGTCTTCCACTTCAGGCACACTCAACACACACACACACACAACGTTTCAGTTTCATGGTGAAAGCTACTAGTTTAATCTACCATATTCACCTTGGGTGTCTCCCCTTGGATTGGATTTGAACATTGGCGCAGATTTGGCCATTCACAGATATTCGCAGTATTTAAGTGTATTTTATTTTTAGGATGAAGGCCTGTCTGTGAAGCATTGCATGCTTTATTCAGTAGTTTTCTCTGAATTACTGCTAGATTTAGGAGATTTGATTCAGATGTACACTGATTTCCGTCATTGCCACTCACCCAAATCCTCTTTAGATCCATTCTACCTCAAGATCTACCTCAAGGTCTCTCTGCTTCCTTCTAGTTTGGTCTTCAATAACGCATTCAGCCGCGAGGGTTCTCTGTGTCTCGTAGTTCTTCACCGCTCTTCAATGAACACACACACACACACACGCCCACTATACATACAGGATACACATATAATGCACACAGTCACACATCTGTCTCTTGGATTTCTGAAAAATTGATAGCGGCCTGTTTTTTTCGTTTTACACTGTTATCGCTGCACCAGTTCACCAACCACATCTCATCCTTTGAGGCCCCTACGGTTGATAGACTAACTAAAAGATATTCAACAACCAAACGAAGGAAGAGAAGAACAGCGAATCCTCATATTTGAGAAGCGTGAACATTTTTTCTTTTTCCTTGATAAATTTCTTAAAATACCTGAGTATGCAAATTGTCATTAGCTGGTTTTCTATCAATTGCCGAAAATGTTTATTTTGACCTGCGGGGGAACTCTTTATGGTCCTGACTCGGTTGGTAAAGCTGGACGAAGCTTCAGCTTCTTAGAGATCACATATCGGAATGTCCATGACCCCAAATCTGGCTTCTCTGCAGCAGTTACCTGCATTTCTTGGAGGTTTTCAGACTTGTTGTTATGGTCTACTCTTTATTATATTTGTAAGCTACTCATACAAGCCTGAGTTGTGCTTGAGTTTCTCTGATAGGTGTTGACCAGAAATTCACAGGTATGAGAATCAAAACCAAAGAATCAGAAGAAAAAGAAGTTTTTGCAGTCCGGCTTCCTCGACTCTGGAACTGCTGGTCAGATGAAATCAGAAAATGCTGTTTTTTTCTATAAATTCCTACTAAGCACCATCACAGTATCCTCTGCAATTACGGACAAAACTGGATGAATCTGCGTCTCTGATTTATGACCAATGTGAGTGTCAATCAATGTTGGATTGTTTAACAAAAACTACACTAAAAGTACCTCTGTCAAGTAACTAAACCAGTCCCTCTATATGAAAACCTCTCTCCTGCATATGTTTGTGATTAACAAATAGACAGGAATCACAGAGCGACTGAGCAGAGACGGACAAAGTGCTGTGATACATTTTCCAGGCCTGTGTTTTATGTGTTGTCGACCTCCGTGTTTGGGGGCAAAGGAAACGGCAGAGGAAATGCCGGCGTTGGTGTGGGAGACGGGTGACCACCTCGCTCTAGGTGAGTGGGTTTAAAACCACAAAGACCTCAGACAAAAAAGCAGAAACACAGAGTCTGGATGTACCGTACCTCCGTGATGATACACAGGGTACAAGATCAAATTCATCTGTCTTAATGAACAATAGCAGCAGTCGAGTCACATGAACAATGACCTTTATACCCTCGCAGAGGTTGAAATCAAGAGCATTCTGATTTGTTAAAAAAAAAGCTTTTTCTGAGTCGCTCCATTGACAATGAATGGGAGACTTGAATATCGAACTGAACCTAGGGGGGATTTTCCAGGGATGTGGGCATTTTCTGCCCCGGATTAAGGCCGTTCATGCCCAAGAAGCTCCAGGCGAGTGCACAGTAGGGGTGTCGGGGTGGATGTATCTCCCAACCGGCTAATAGCACCGGTGTTACAGAGTGAACCGGACATTTTACAACAACGGGTGTTTGCCAGTGATCGGTAGATCAAACGATAGGTGTGTATTTGTTCTGCTGCTCATCTGTTTGGTCCATCTCTAAATTCTTGCTAACGACACGTCCCCTCACAGAATAAGATTTATTTTTGTCCTTGTTTTTTTGGATACTGCGTGGGTTTGTGTAATATTCTGTGGTTTTTTCATTCAGAGAAAAGGGAAAACAATTCGTACAGGCAGGTGAGCTCAGTTCCAGGTCTCAGATTGACGAAAGGGAAGAAAGGACTAAAGGAAATAACATTACCATCCTGGAGTTTAGATTCAGGGTGGAATTAAGGGCTCCTCCATCTGGCTGACGGATTTGAGCCAACGGTGAAGGATGAGTCTCTGTGTCAACAGTGACTCCATTTATATTGCGTATATTGCTTTTTCTGTTTGATTAGGTTATGCTGTACGGACGCTTATTCATATTCCCTTTCAAAATGAGAATGATAAAGCTGATTAAAACCCTTCGAGTATAGTGGAGAGTGGAGGATGGCAATTTTCTAAAGCCCTGACAGTGACACATGCTTGATGTGTTGGGAAACGGGAAATGTTTGTACAAAGACAATCTGAAAGCTTCTGTTCTTTCCAAAAATGGCAGATTAAAGGCTGTTGATGCATGTATGAACAAGTAGACTCACAGTGGTGGGCGAAGCCGCTGATGAGCTCATGTCTTTTGTTGTTCAGATAGCGTTGAATATGTTCCAATCTTTACATAAGCCGATTGGTCTTATCTTGCTTTTATTACATAACGTATCTACAAACAACAGTTATTAAGACACGAGACACTGAGAACGTGTCTTCTCAATCAGCGTATAATACAACGAGCAATGTGGCTCAAAATGAATACGATGTACAGCATTTAAATCAACATCTGAAGGTTTTATGCTGTTTGCTTTATGTTGTCAGGCGAGTGTCATTTTTAGATTTGCCCCTGACAATCGGCCGAGTTAAGAGTTTAGACGACCCGAGAAGGACAACTTCAAAACAGAAACACTAAAATACCACAGAAACAAGCCAATCGGATCAAAACATGAAATGATAGTGAATGCACCAGGAATGTAGTATAATAACTTCACACAACCTGGTATCAGAACCTCAAACACAATATTTTACAGTGTTACACAGATTGCCACCTGATGATTTTATCATACGTACTTTTAAAGCAACAAGTCAAGTTGTTGTCGTGTAACACGCTAAATAAAACAAACTCCGATAGAGCTTCATCATAAGTTTACGCCCTCGGTCATGAAAGTTAAAAATAAGTAATGATAGTTTGTGTTTACTACCAGACAGACACACAAAGTGGCTACACATCTCTAAGAGAGCCTGTTGTCCATGAAGGGAGTAGAAAAACAAGAGCCCTAAAGTTTGTGTGTGTGTGTCTGTTTGTGTACTTGTGTATAAGCATGTATATCTGTGTGTTTTGTTTTGTGTGTGTGTGTGTGTGTGTGTAAGTCACTGGGGGGGGATAAAGAACCATTGTCTGCAGCTGGTGCACCCCCCACTCCTCCTTTCTGCAGCTGTGAGGAAATCAAACGCTCCTCTTTTCCTCCTCTGTCACAACCTGCTGACGCCTTATTAGGTCACTCGTGGTGAAACGTATGTGATGACCCGCGGCAGCAGGTACACCGGCCCCATTGAGCTGCTGCAAGATGTTAATGTCGAAACGTTATCAGCATTATTAACTCTGGATCTTATGATGATGTTAACAAAAATTTACATTGGACCTGTAGATAAAAAGGAGTCAGTCAAACAATATGAAATACAAGGAAGTTAAATAAAGCATCGTGTCCAGTGGTCCGTATCAGTGGAAATGAACCCACTTTTCTTGTGAATGAAGCCCATAATTCTATTTCATTAAAACAGTTTATTGTCCATCATTGACAAAAATAAGTGAAAGGGATGATAACAGTGCTCTTGTAGGTAAGTTTTGGCGCATAGAATACAAATAAGGATATGTTTGTGAGCAATATGGTAATAGTGCCACAGGTTGAATAAACTGTATTGAGAGTATTGTTTAGAGAAAGAAATATGAATGTTAACTGGGGCTCGATACGGAATTCAGAGACTATCTTGTACCTCCAAACCCCTCAACATGCTGGGTTGGCTGAGCTGGTGGCTAACAGTGCCAACAGAGCGAACGGTGGATCGCTACCTGACAACATTGTGAGTCAAGAAGAGGCCTCACATGGATAAAAGTTGCATGGATAAAAATGGAGTGAAAGGAATGTGCGGCCCGGCTACGTAAATGAAGTCCAGAGGAGTTTGGATTACAACACACACACAGAGCGGGAGAGAAAATGCACCAGAAGACATTAGTCCACTATGTTTAAGTAGCAAAAAGATGCACGCGGCTGCATTAATGCCCGGAATATCAAAGTTAGCACATTTGTCACAGAATGAGGAACAAAACTTCCTCTTCCACTCAAAACCGCATGGGGCATTTAGTGACCACTCAATTGGCAAAATTCATCAGCAGAAGGGGGGGGGGGGGGGGGGATTACCAGGTTGTCGTGCATATGTTACAGTTACTGTAAAAGTTCTAAAAATGTATTTCCTCAATTGTTGAGATCGATGATGAATTATTGACCCAGGAAACAAACATCAACAAAAGAATATAACATTATTGTTGTTCTAATTCTCAAACCTAATTTGAAAGCATCATAGCTTTTAGTCAAATATAAATAAACCATAATTGTGACAGGCTTAGAACCCTAAAAGTCTTATTTATGAGGAATATTTTGGCATTTTTACAACAACAACAAAAAAAGATAAGGTTGCACATACAGAACATGCCTTTCCGTGAATAAATCAAAATGTGTGTGTTTTATTGGCGGATTCCTCAGAATGTGTCATTCCCAAACGAGCCCCGGTTCCGTTCGGCTCTCAATGAATGGACATGAATGTCGTGAGAAGCGCCCTTGAGCTCCAGCGACTCCTCGGCGGCTCTGCGCCTTTAAATCTCTCCACCCCGCCCTCCGTCTCAATGACAAGCCCGCAGAGCCTCCTCAACGCATCCAGCGCAGCCGACGGAGCAGAGGCGCACCCCGGGGGGCCAAAAAGCACGTCGAAACCACCGCGGCAGTCATGAGCTTCGGCGACTCGCCCGCAACTCACACCCCGAGACCCCGACGCGGCGCCCCGCTCGGGCTGGAGCGCGCTCGCCGAATGGACGTCCGTGGACTGGACTGAACGCCTCCGCTGCATCTACCGGACCGAAGGAAGGAAGGAAGGAAGGAAGGGGGGGGGGGGGTAAAGAAACCCTCCCGCATGTTCAAGTTCGCTGCTCCGGAGACCAGAGAGGGACGTCGCCCGCAGGAGCGCGCAGCGGCGGGACGAGAAGTTTAGCGCCGTGATTTCTCCTCTCTCTCTCTCCTCTCTCTCTCTCCTCTCTCTCTCCTCTCCTCTCTCTCCTCCTGTTGTGTTGCGTTTTTTTTCCCCATGTCACGCCACGGGACGGGCGGATTAACGTTTCCCCGATGAAAATAAATCACCTGCGGAGGGACCCCGCGATCGTGACCGCGACTACCATGTCGAGTAAGAGCGCGGAGTGGCTGCAGGAGGAGCTGGAGTCCGGCGCCGGCTCCCTGCTGCTGCTGGACTGCCGGACCCACGAGCTGTACGAGTCCTCGCACATCGAGTCGGCCATCAACCTGGCCATCCCGGGCCTCATGCTCCGGAGGCTGAAGAAGGGCAACCTCCCCATCCGCTCCATCATCCCCAACAACGAGGACAAGGAGAAATTCGTCAAGAGGTGCAAGACGGACGTGGTGGTCCTGTACGACGAGGCGACCCCGGAGCGGCAGGAGTCCGGGCTCGGGAGCTCCGTGCTGGGGCTGCTGCTGCAGAAACTGCGGGACGACGGGTGCAAGGCTTTCCACCTGGAGGGTAAGAGGAGCTGGCTTTTAAAAAGCCCTAAAAGGGCTCCTGCGTCGGAGACTATGGTTGCTTTAATTCATTAGAAGAAAGGGAAAAACAAGAGAGGAGATTGTTTGATTTCGCTCTGATGTTGTGCGGCTGTGTTTCTTTTCAACAAGCACTCAACTACAGATATGAGAGTTATGACAATTCATGCGCAGGACCATGTTTTCATGCTTTCTGTTGGGTCTTTGATGTAAAGCCCTTGGAGAAGATCCTATTTGGGGAAAAGGGCATGTTCCCCTTTTACCCGCCCTCGTTAGTATCCCACCTTTTATAACACATTGTTAAATAGCGATAGGGATATTTAGGTGTCACAGTATGGCGGGACCGTGAATACATCCAGTGGGGCCATCAGCCGTCTGCCGACTAGAGTTCGGGTCTTATTAATTATGTATGAACCGTAATGAGGCAGCGACAGCTTCGACTATTACAGCAGTTATTATGGGCGCATTGGAAACGAGGTGAAACACGTGAGCTTCACTCACTGCGAAGTCTCAATGAAGTTTCACATCGCACTTCCGTCACGCGATGGGTTCGCCTGGGTTACTGTGTTGCTTTCTTTCAATACGGGCTAACCTAAAGTAGCGTTCGGTGTCTCGGTAAATATGTTCTCAATTAAATGCTTTAAAAAATATAAAAAATAAACGGCCCCGCCATGTTGTGCTCCTTCAGGGGGAAAAAAAGACTAGCGGTTTTTTTTTTCTCTCTTTTTTTTTCATGAATGAAAGAGGAAACGAGGAGACGAGGACGACGCAGTCTGAATAAATCCTCCACGTTTCCCGTGCGAGCAGGACACGAGGCTCCGGCGTCTGAAGGCGCGCGCGCGTTCGTGACTTCTAAGCGGTGTTTCACCTAAACGTGAAACCGAGCTGCCATTCACAAAAAAAAAAAAAAGTCCACCGCGCCGAGCGATGTCCGCAGCACTCTTTTGTCAATGGAGCACATCTGGCCGGCCCTCGTCGCTTCGACCAGAATGACGCCAATATCGCGTTGATAAAATGCGAATCCGTAGTGTTGCATAAAAAGGGGGCGTGGCCGCGAGAACTGCAATTCTTTTTCAGCGGCAACAAAAATCGGTATATTTATTTAATTGTCAATAGAATAGGATCATGTTTACGATGTACGTGGGTTGATGAGAAAGTTATGTAAATTGCTTCCATTTGGATAGCCCCTTGTACACCCGCTGCTTGATAGAATGTAATGTTATTAGAGTGACAATTCACAGGGGCGAAACAGACATGTATGCTTGGAAACATCATTTGTACCGATTTACAACCATTAACATTGCTATTTCTCTCCAAAACATTTCTGTTATTTAAATTTTTTTTTTTTTACAATTTCTTTGGTTGATTTTACTGCTAATTGAAGGTCCATTTCTTGTCATTCAGCTTCACGGTGCACCTCCTGTACGATACAGACTTGACATTCAGCTGCCATTTTGTAGATGTTTTATTACACAACCTCGGCCGTCGTCACGCACAGGGCACATTTTTTATTTACCACCCAGGGCTTTTATCCTTCAATTGACTGTTTCCGGTCTTTTCCTCATCCGCCAGGGGGCTTCAACAAGTTCCAGTCGGAGTACCCTGAGCACTGCGAGACCAATTTGGACTGCTCCTGTACCAGCAGCTCGCCACCAGCCTCCGTCCTCGGCCTGGGGGGACTTCGCATCAGCTCCGACTGCTCAGACGGGGAATCTGACCGCGAGCCGGGCAGCGCCACAGAGTCGGAGGGCAGCCCGCTCCCCATTAACCAGCCGGCGTTTCCTGTCCAGATCCTGCCGTACCTTTACCTGGGCTGTGCCAAAGACTCCACCAACCTGGATGTGCTCAGCAAGTACAACATCAAGTACATCCTCAACGTGACGCCCAACCTGCCCAACATGTTCGAACACGAAGGGGACTTCAAGTACAAACAGATCCCCATCTCCGATCACTGGAGCCAGAACCTGTCTCAGTTTTTCCCCGAGGCCATCTCATTCATTGGTAAGCAAACGTGGAGAGAACTCTTCATGAAATGCTGCATAACAGATTTGGGAAGTTGCTGGTTAACCATCATTATGATTATCAACTCGTCTGAGGTGACACCTTCAAATGTCATGGAATTGGTGAAATGCTGTTTCACCAATGCTGAAAATGCTCGGCATTTGAGTAATTGAAACAAGTGAAATACTTGATCATCAACCATCAATTAATTACTAGTTTTGTTAATTTAAGTGACTCCTCCATTACCCTCTTTAAACACAGTACAGTTTAATCATACATTGTGTAATTATCTTTCTGCCAATAATGGGTTTTGTGGAAAAAGCTTGAAAAGTAATACGTGTGAAATTGTCGGAAATGTTCATTGTCCAGCTGTATTTGGACATCCATAGGTTTGATTTTAAGTTTCATAATTAAAAATGAATTAGATATGTAAGTTAAGGAGAAACATTTTAAATGAATTAAACAGGGAAATTTATATTTGAGATTTAAAGCCACAATGATTTTAGCGCCTTCATCCTTTTAAGGTATTTCCTCTCATTCCCTTTGACTCAATGCCAGATAATGAATGAATTCCCCCTGTGATCAGTTAATGAGAACCACGGTCTTTGTGATTGTCCAGACCAAAGACATTTCCTTTCTTTTTTAAGACTAATGTTTTAGCTCTGGTGGGAGGAAGTGAGACATATGCCAGAGCCACAGGTCGTGGTAGATTCGGGTCATGAGGATGTTAAATGTTGCAATTTGGCTGGCTGTAATGTGCAGGGATTACATCAGGTCTTTTTAGTAGCAGCACGGTAATTGTGGGTGGAGGAGAGAAGCTCGTGGTGAAAAGGAGACCCAGATGTGACCTTGATGTGTACATATGTAAACTGCGGATTCCTTAAATATCTGAAATGATTGTATGCACATGTAGAGATGGAGGAATTTAGTGGTTTCAGGCAATTAAACAGGCAGATATGTGGACACTTATTGCGTTACAAATCATGTAAAGCACAAATGAAGTTATGTAACGCTGCACAATCCAAAGATCAGCTCGGGACAAATTAACCACGCTTCACTTGTTTGACTTTTCAGCCTTCTATGCTTGTGGAATGTTAGCACACATCGCATATACATTTCATTCGACATCTGCTTGGCCGCCTGAGCTCAAGAGCCAGCTGACCCCAATCCCACAACAAGAGATGCAGGCAGAGAGAGATACAGGAGAGGATAAAAGAGAGCGAGACACACAGAGAGAGGAGGAAGAAAGGAAAGAAGCACTTAACTCTCGCTCTAATGGCCTGCAGAGATGCTAGTGCAGGGCCTCGTAACTGATAGACGGATGGTGGATGTAGCCCTTCAATAATGTAAGATGGGGTTTTTCATCCAGGTTTTACTACAGAATGAGGACAAGAGAGCAGAATGAAACATTTCTTTCTGCTGTCAATGAGAAAGGTCACTCTGGAGTAAACATATATTGAAATGTTTGGAGGGAAAGGTGTAATTGTATGCGTTGTGACTTGGAGTATGCCGGTGTTGTACCACGCGGGGGGACGTTCTGTGGCGTTACATCGTGATAACATAATATTTCTACTGCACAAATGATTGCAATTTAGTTGTAATTTGATACTGATACTGATAATATGGAGTAGTTTGAATTGTTTTGACTTACATGTGAAGAATTTAATCTCATGTAATTAAAAACAGTGGAACACCGTCAAATGCTTTAAAGTGACTGAAAATGTGTGTGTGAATATAAAAGCAACAATGGAATTTTTTTTCTTTAGGATTTATCAGGATTATATTTCACAATGATGCCTTACATAACAACTTAAATATGTCAGAGGATTTTTTCCAATTCATTGATATTCTGTAAATATTGTTTAGTAGAAATTGAATCAGTTATTACCATAGCAACAACTGCTTTTTGGGGTCCATATCCAAACTATACAGCATAAAAAAAACGATGCTTTAAATAAATCTTTTCCATCTCGCTCAAAGATAATGTTGTATCTAATCTCCTGCAGACGAGGCCCGCTCCAAAAAGTGCGGCATCCTGGTGCACTGCCTGGCCGGGATCAGCCGCTCGGTGACCGTCACGGTGGCGTACCTGATGCAGAAGCTCAACCTGTCGCTCAACGACGCCTACGACTTTGTCAAGCGGAAAAAGTCAAACATCTCCCCCAACTTCAACTTCATGGGCCAGCTGCTGGACTTTGAGCGGACGCTGGGCCTCAGCAGCCCCTGTGACAACCACTCGACCTCCCCGACGCACGACCAGCTCTTCTTCACCACCCCGACCAACCACAACGTGTTTCAGCTGGACACGCTGGAGTCCAGGTGAAAACCGGTGGGGTGACTGTTCCTTTTTTTGTGGGGGAGGAGGGTAGGGAGGGGGGGGGGGTGGTAGGTTTTGTTACCATGATAACAAGCGGCTGCACTGGAAGGAAGTTGCCAGTTTTAGGGAATGTTTTTGCCCCCCGAGGCTCGTTGTCTGAGAACTTTGGCGAAGGAACAGCGCCGGACGGGCAGGGAAGGTCACGGATGCCACCTTCAAAGGGGAACGCTTTTTTTTTTTCTTCTTTTTTTCTTTTTAATCCGGGTGGGGAGGGGGGGACTGACAAATTGGGTCTACAGTGGCGTCCTCTCGATTTGAAATGGAGAGAGAGAAAGAGCCATGATCAACTTGTCTTGTCACAAAGAACCTAGGAGACTTAACCGACCGAGCAAAGGACGCGGGAGGACAGACAGCTTCATACAAAGATAGGAAAAATCTACGGCGCTCGTGAGAGAAGGACATCCTCTCCGTCTTTCTGCCGGCTCTCTGGCCGAGCTGGCTGGTGCCAAGTGGAGGATCTGGGATTCGCTCGTAGGGAATCTCGCTCTACTGAATGTAGAGTTTTACAAACCAAGGAATTAACACAGACAGTATGTATGTTTGTTCTCTATGTACTGTATCTATGTCAACGTACATAGCAGAAAATCCAGTATGTCTTTATGCATTTTTGTATATTTTTGTGTACATTTGCGCACAAATCTGTACCTTATATAAATATATACACATAGAAATTGTATCTATTCAATCCAACAACGGCTTACGAGATTGTAAAACTAAAGAAAGGGTGGAGACGCCAACAAAGAGGAACGTCATTGTGATATTCCCAGTTGTCTTTTTTTTTTCTTCTTCTTCTTCTTCTTTTCTCCTCGAGGTTTGTAATGACCTAATGCAGTTTGCACAGTGGCGTAGCCATTGACTTGTTGGCACTTGGAGCCGGTGCTGGAAACGGGGCAGATAAAGAGACATTCAGAGAGGAGGAGCGCAAAGGAGAGGCCAGTCCCAGGCTGCGACAAGTGCCGACAGCTGCACCGTGGAGTGGGGAGGGAGCAGGGACAGCCCCCACCCCCCCCCACCCCCCCCATCCCACCAGCAAAGGACGAGGTTCAGGGGTTAGAGGTTTGGGTCGGGTTCGGGGGGGTTGGGGGGGGGGGTGTCGGGGACGAAGACGAGCGGCGGGCCCGAACGGGGCCAGATAGATGCTACAGGCGAGTTGACACTCGGTCAAGTGCGGGTTCCTTCTCCCGCCCCCCCGATGACTCATCCAGTTGCCTTACAAGAAGAACCAGTTGTCTCCCAGCAGCGGTTTTCTGTCAGTTCAGTAAAGAAGTAAACTTCCTGGACTTCCTCAGTTATTTCATCACGTCGCATACTGTCCGACCATAGTGTGTTTTTCTTTTGCCAAACTGGTTTCTCACACCTCTGGCGTTTGAGGTGCTACGGCAGTGTTAACGTTCCAAAACGACTTTTTGCTCAACTTATTTTAGCAACCTTTGGCAAGGAAGTGCCTCACCACTGTTGTATTGCCGTACTTCTTTTTGCCTAACAGGATGTTTTTCAATTTGCCGCCCCAATTTCCTCTTTTACTGGCGTTGGTATTATAGTGTTGTGCACTGGGACTGGCCTCAGCGACAGACTGCACTTAGCTCCTACAGCAGCTCCACGTCCCGTAACTGCATTGGAGAAAACACAAAGCAAAGGGATCACCCCCCGTTAGGTCAAAGAAAGGTTTGTCTGAGTTGATTCACCCTTAAGCCTTGGCTAAATGAAAGATATATTAAACGCAGATTGATATAAATATATATATATATATAATAGAGCTAATGGTAAACAGATTGATATTATTTTGTATACCTGAGCATGCTGCGGTACTGTATGCTCTCTAACAGTGACCACGGGTTGGATGTTGCATCACATGGCAGGAAGACGATTGATGAGGACCGTTTTTTTAAACTGCTGTTGCTGCTGAACACAGCGGTACACGGCATGTAGTTAAAAGAGTTTTCTGAGATCTTGTCCACATCAGAAGCACCTTAACTTGAGATACTCCAAAAATAATGTGCAAATGCTGCAGGATTTGTGCTTATTTAACGTAAGTTTCCTCCAATGAGTCGAACTGCTCTGCAGCACTTAGACTTATGTCAATGTCTGTAGGCATGTTGGGCGTCATGCATTAACAATTTTATTTTTTTCATACTAAATCTCTCCTAATTTCTTTCGTTGAGGGATGCTCATACGGGTCTGATTCGGCATGTAACTTTTGCAGACATAACATTTAGCAGCGACAGTACCAAAAAAAGAAAAGAAGATGCTATTAATACGCTGTCTAAATAGCTCAAAAACATCATGACACTGGAATCGCAGCTCTTTTTCAAGTTACGAGTGACGCTCAGACCACCTGCACGTCCTCCTCTGGCCTGATGGTCCGAGGACGACCTGTAGTTGGTTGAAATGTTGCAAACGAAGCTGAAAACAACGCACCTTCTCTTGGAGGACTTGCACATCTGTTTGCTTTGGTAAAGGCTGCAGAGGTTTGGTTTCACAGCGCTGATGTGGACACGGTCTAGAAACAAAGAAGTGGGCAGAGGGCACGGCTGTTGAATCTGAACAGGGTTGGTTTTCGCTGGCCTTATATAATCTTTCTAACTTGTTTCTAATGCTGACTGTTCAATACTTTGTATCTCACTTTAGAAAAAAACGTTGTGTAAACAGTCATTTGTTGTCATTTGAATCAGAACATGGTAATAACCGCGGGTCACACAAAGTCCTCTTTGTTACTCTGCAATATATATCAAAACACCCTTTTTGCAGTTTTTTGTAGATCCAAGACCTCAAATTTTTTTTAAACTTCTTCTTTTGTACTATATCTATTCTATTATTACCACACAAGATCCAGCTCGATAGGGCTCGTGGACCGAAGTACCATTTCACCTGGGGTGTCCAAAACCTAAAGAGGCCCCACTGACACCCACGCAGCCGGAGCTGTGGGTCAGCATGCCAGTTGTGAGCGACGATTACAGCCCCCTGCTTATATAATTACGTCTTTCTCCGTTTTGATATCACGTGCTCTATTCCTGTGGCCTTTCGATATGAATATATATCTAAGTATATATAAATATATGTTTTTAATTAATATGCAAATTTCCTGTCCTGCAACATCAGAGATGAAAACCGTGCTACCACGCTTGAATGGCTTTCTCTCATCTGCAGTTACACCCGACTTAAAAGTAGAAAAACAACCTCATCCCTGGCACCCTAGGATTGAAATGTATTTCAGTACGGAGCTTTTCTATTTCACCAGAATATGGATGGTTTCAAGCTGCTCTCTTGTGTTTTCTTTTGTGTGCGTGTGCGTCTTTGTAACAATGGAAGAGAAATCAAGTCTTTTTCTCTGTTTGTACATTTGCCAGATGACGGGAACGGCAGTTTCTGTGTCCTTAAACTTGTAGCTACATCTCGGTAGGAGTGTGCTCGGGAGCGGATGAGAAGCGGGCGCGAAAGAGAGGGGCGGCGGCGCTAAATACAACGTGAGCGAAAAAGTGGATGATTTTAAAAATGTTACCTCAGTGAGGAATTTTTCAGGGATTTTTTTGACAATGCATCTTGCATCGTGTTACGGCTTCAGACACACGTCGAAAAGCTGTTTTGTATCGTGCTGTAAACAGTTTTTAAAAGAAAATGCAATCTGAAATTTGAAAACAAGGGGCATGTTAACCGGGACAGTTTCATCATCTGTCTACTGAAGGAAATATGATTGACCCTTTGTATTGTACAGTGTATGGAAACAACACAAGACATGTTTATACCGCAAATAAATATTGAAATATTTTTTTCTTCAGAACGTTTGTCCCTTTTATCTCCTACCACAAAATAACACAAAAATAGAAGTCATTGCAATAAACCCAAGGGAATCATTCCCAATTATATCAATCAACCTAACTAACAGTTGTTGTATTATTATTTTCTAATAATGATTGATTTTGCAGGCTAAACCGTAAACAATGGTTATACTCTCTACCACAAATGTTTATTCATACTTCCCTCTAATATAACAACATATTAAGTGTTTTTTTACGGTATTTGTGAACAATTAACAATTGCATTTTTGTCAGCCTTTAATGGGTTTACTTGTTAGCCTGCGATCTTCCACACATGTTAGACATCTCTTGAAGATGACCGATACGACACTCCCTTTACACTCCTGACTGCTTGAAAGGCCTCCTTCTCCTGGCTCCTTAAGCTAACAAAGGATTTAAAAGTTGCTGTTGTAGGGAAGGGCTTAGCGAAGGGTCAATAAATTCCTCTTAGGAGGACATTTTCTACTTTTAATACAGCTGTGTTTTACTATATTTTCATTATTGTCCTTAGACTGGCTTCCATTTAGCGGTTAAACTTGTTGACAAAAGCATTAATAAACACACTGTGTAAATGAATTAAATGATTATATACCACTCATGAATGCTGAATAAGGGGACCAAAGGCAATCACCTTTTGAAAAGGAAAATAAGCTTCTGGGAGACTAGATTGTGTGTAGTAGAACAACAAGACGATGGATGTTTTGGTTTAGTTTGGCTTTGCGGAAGACTTCCCTTTGTCTTCTGTTTAGCAGCCATCTTGGATTTTGAAGTCGGAAGGTTTGCCTTTTTGCAAGAGCTTTAGCTGGTTGCCAAGCAACTGCTCCCAACCACAAAAAAATGGTCAGGACATAAAATTGCAATTAGTACAGAATTAACAAACAAGCTCAAATAAATGACTTAGCTTAAGTGCTTCAGGTCTGTATTTGGACTCCCGACTGAGCCAGACTAGCTGTTCTTTTAGTATTCATGCTAAATTGAGCTAACTAACTTATTATCTTCTCATCTACTTGTTGAACCATTCTTTTGAGTAAATATATTAAGTATTTATGTGTAGATAAATAATAGTCCAAGGTTTCTAATTGGCTGTCCAGATGTGAGGAATCACCAATTTTATATCTCCAAACCGAATCCTGTGTGGCCACTTGCTGCTCCCACGTCACCCAAACAGTCTTTTTCACCTTCTCAACTAACAGCTCACAATGGCGCATGTGCACGTGGAAGCTGACATTCAAAGAGCGAGAGAGAGAATCAGCGACGGGACACACTGAGCGGGGTTGGTGGGAATAAAAAAAAAAAAAGAGCATCTAAAGGCAGCGCTGTGAGCAGAGCTAAGCTTGCTATAAATATCTCCTCCGGTGTCGCCCTCACTTCGCTTCCCTCCTTCCACAACGGCGCGTCTTTCATTTTTGCTCTGAGTTCCTTCTATCCGTTCACCTCATGGTAATTCAGACAGGATATTACAGTGACAGCGGAGGTGACACAGAGGAAATGAAGGCCCGTTTGAAGAGATCGGGGATAGAATGATCGACGCCACCGACTGATTACTTTCTGGTTCCCTGGCAACATGATGACAGGCTTTTCCCACATGCCCATCATCATCGTAACGCTTAATGTAACAGGAAAGGTTTCCCTCAATAATTTGAGAACTTGGAGCGCTATGACATTTGCGTTGTTAGAGCTGCATGTCTTTGTTTCCCGCAGCTCACTAATCGAGCTTCTCCAGCCTGGTGTCCAGAGAGGTGCATGTTTGGGTCACGTAACCGGGACAGCATCGCCCCGATTCGTGTCATTACTTTCTCCCATTCTGCTCGCATTACCTCATGTAGGTTGCTTTGACAAGGAAACGTTTTTTATTTGATGGTGAGACCTTTGATTTTGAAAAGATTAAAGCGACCTCCGGTTCTCGGGGTCAGGTTCACTCCTCAGATGAAGGCTCCTAAAGAACCAGCGCTTTTCTCTCACAAGCCAAATTATTTCAAATCCTCTAAGAAAGAATATTTGTGCATTTTATAGCAGACGTTCACGACTATTTTAAAGCTTGTTCCATGAACAACTAGAGTGAAAGCTTGAAAACAAGACACGCTGCTTTTAGTCAAACTGTCTCTTTGGGAATGTGATCCGAGGGGTGAATGAAGTGTCACAGCAGAAAGATCTGATCTCAACATCTCCTCTTCAAGCTTAATTAAAGGCGTTAACTGGAGTTCAGGATGAGCTGTTTTGTCGCAGAATAAACTCTGTGTGTGTGTGTGTGTCTCCATACTGTGTGTACTGTATTGTCCTCGTGCTCTCTGTCTGACTGACACCACTGAAACTCGGCCAGGTAAACCACATCTACCACAGCCATACTACCGGCAAACAGAGGAGCTCAGGAGCTACAATAGTGAAAATAGTGAAGTGAAAATAGTGGCAAATAGCCGCAGCACTTAGACGAGCACCGTCCTCCCACTGTGAGTGGTACTGTTCTCTGATGTGCTGTATTCTTTCGGCTCTCCTTCCCAGTTATATAAAGAACCAGTTCAGCGACCCTCTCCGGCAACGCTTCACTTGGAGAGCATAATGAGAGGAGGGGGGAGGCAGGGAGCTGCAGCGCGGGGAGGGAGAGGCGTTCATGTTTCATCACGTTGAGGCCTGCTTACCTGTGAAATGGAAGCTAGAACTGGAAGGGAAGCGGTCAACAGTTTCAGCTGCTTATTACGAAGTCCATGTGCTGTTTCTGTCGGCCGTGCTGTGATCTCAGTCACCCCCCCACGTCTTCATCGCTAGTCCGCGTTCTGAGTGTCGCAGAGTATTTCTTGTTTTCCCACTCGTCAGTAGATTGTGAGTGTTCGTGTCATTTTTGTCAAGCCCGGAAAATCTGTTGGCAATAAATTGATGAGCGTGATCCCGAACTGTAAAAAGTGAATTACAGTTTTGCTAAAATAGCAGGGAAATAAATAAGAATAGGAACTAGGATACGAGAACAATAACCATTTTGAATCACGTTTTTTGTTCTCCTGACAGGCGCCATCCGCACCGCCAAACCCGAGCTTGTTCAAAAGAGCGCGTTCCCAATATTTGATTAATAATCCATCCGTATTTAGCAGGAACTCGTTCGAGAAAGCAAACAACACAGACAGGAATCCCATGTTCTCTCTACGTGCAAACAAAAGGAAGGCATCCTCACGAGGACAGGCTGTTCCTTCTCACCCCAATCAAACTCCACCTTTTACACCATCCCCATAAAGGGGCGAAGGCAGTGACACCAGCTGCTGTGAAGCTGACAAAACCCGAGTGCCCCTTACAGAGGGCACTCAGTCAGGGCCACGTTAGAAGGAAACGTTGGACAAGAGCAGCTGGGGAATAGACACCTCGTCAGTCCACCGTGTTAGGTGACAAACCTGTGGCCCCGGCTCATTAAACACACACACACACACACACCTGAACGAACTTTGAACAGGATCAATCACTGACATCACCTCAAACACCGTGATTGCTGCAGTAAAACGAAAACTCACAACGGAAAGTACATTTTGGAATGTGGAGATAAGTTTGATGCAGCTCTCCTTTAAAATGGATCCATGGTGTTTTTTTCCACTTGGAGCAGATTTGTCGAGGCCAAATATGGTTATGGCTGGCTGCCGGCTGTAAAATAGAGATGGTTATAAAGTATGATCTCACACACTCGGACTGTGTGCGTGTGTGTGTGTGTGTGTGTGTGTGTGGGGGTTGTAATGCGTGTGTAACATGCGCAATGAGCCGCCCCATGTGCCAATGTGAATGTTTGACTTTGATCCCGTCCTTGGTGAGCAAACATATTCAGCCTCTTCTTATCTCTTTGCCCCCTGTGACTTTGCCCCCTGTACTTATCGTATTCTCATGATGTTGAATGCGTTTCTCATGGGTGTTGTGATCAAACATATACACACTTTCCAGTAAATCCAGCTGTAATCAGGGGAATTAGTTGATGACTGCAGTCAGACATCTTGTTATTCTTTCGTAGTCTCGACCTTGACACACACTTGTAAAAAGTATAATATAATGCAAATGTGTGAAGAGTTTGTGAAGTTACATTTTGAAATAACTGTATTTTTGTATTGCCTTTGTACCGTCTGTAGTCGTTCACTTGATATGTTAACACAGCTGTCGTCATCTAGGCGGCGTGTGTGTAGAGTACCGTAACCGCTTTTACCTGACGGAGATCCGGCTCGGATGGAAAAGCTTATTTAAATGATTTACAAAGCTTGGAGCCAGCGTACATGTGTCACTTCTATCATTTTTTACAACCAATATAAATAATAATCCATAATGTGTTTGTTTTCCACTTCCACATCCAGCCAATCAAGTCACTTTACTCTACTACTTTTCGATTAAACAAAATGTTCACCTCATTTAACTCATTTCCTTTTCCCCCCATTATGTCTTAATCTTCTTTTTATTTCCTTTCATCCTGTCCTTTTCACCACCTATCTCCATCTGTTTCGCTGACTGTGTCTTGATAACCACTTTTCCATCCCCCTCCCCCCCCTTCAGCCGGTGTAACGTGACTCCAGACGGGGCGAGGTGCTCACCAGGCGGATAAAGAGCACCACACATCCGCTCGGAAGTTAAAGAGTAACAGCGACAGGTGATCACCGCAAAACCGCCAGTCAGACCACAGTCCAGATCATAGCAACCAAGGGAAATGTACTGAGTGCTTTATGAAGAAATAAAGATTATGATCATTCAGGGAACCTAATGGAGCATTGCTAGATTTAGAAATGCATTGTTATTTATATACTTATATGTGACAACGGCAGTTTTGTTTAGAAGTGGGTAAAAAACAATACATGCAGCTTACATTGTGCACACTCATGTGTATTTAAATAAAGTTACAATTAAATCCAAAGATAAACATTCAGAACAAGCAGGGGAAATTATTTCCATTCATTTTTCAGGCAACAAGTAAAATGCACCAATAACACATCAGCGATCAGACGTGCTCTCTCCTCTGGCATTCATGAAT